TGCTGTGGTAGGCTATTAAAAGCTGGGGTGTATTTATGGACTGATTCGGTTTAAGCGGCCTACTTAAGCGGCTCCTGAAGCTGAATCCCCCGTACCGATCTAGTTCTGGGCTCCCGTTGCTCTAGTTCTGGGCTCCCGTTGTTGACGCTTCTGGACCCTGAGAGAACTTTCTTCTGGTGGTCGGCGCTGTCTGAGAAAACATTGAATTTGGGCCGGCCGGCGCGTGACGCCGTGACAGCGTGACGCCGGCGCTCCGTGACGGACCGGCACGCCTCCGTGACGACCGTCTCCCGAGCCGACGGGGCCGACGTGACGGCCGGCTCTCTCCGAGTGTCTCTAGTCGCTACGTCCCGTCGTGTCCGTCAGCGCCGTCTATCCAGTTCTCCTGGTTTGTCTAGGTCATCGAAGACTTCGTGTGGTCCGTCTGTGGGCTCTATGCTATCGGTGCTTGCCGTGCTCTAGCCATGGTCTGAGTTCTTATTTGGTCTTCGGAGCCCCTCTGTTCCATCTCCGCAATGTCTCCACATCTGTGGGAGCTTAGCCGACGTGTCACATGTGCCCATCACGGTTCTTCTTTACAACAGTCTGCTGTGACACGTATTGGAGTACTTCCTAGTAATCACCGCGGTATGGTGTAACAGGTGGTAGAACATTGACAGTCCCAGACGGGTCTCTCCGTCTCTCGGAGGACATCATCAGCCGGCCAGACGCGCCTCGACGGCTTCATCCCCGGTCATCGGCGTGTGATTACCGTCATCTGCTGCCGGCGCTCTCGGCAGTGTGAGGCGCGCTCTGCTTCCTCGCGCGGTGGGCCGGCAGACAGGACCGCGGGCGGCGCAGTTCCGGCCGCGTGGGGGCTGCCCTCGACCCAGTGGCAGCGCGGCGTGTCATTACGGCGCGCGGCCCCGGCCCGGCCCTGGCCCTGGCCCTGACGGCGGCACCGCCCCGCGGCCGGAGGATGGAGGTCGGACTCGAGCTGCTTGAGCCAGCCCGCACACACGGTGCCGTGCGACTCCGACGGCTAACACTTAGGTGGCTGATACCTGAGGAAGCCACCGCCGCACCGAGTTATTGACTTAGCTGGCTGGAGTGTAGTGTCTGGAGAAGACACTAGACAGTCTCCCTCAGCCATGTGGCTACGAGATATGTGACGGCCCAGATGGCGATAAATCCGTTCGGCGATTCGGAGAGTCGAGATGCCTTGTTGGTATGCGAATAGCGGCCTACTGAAACTCGTACACGACCATGACAGCATCACGAAGGCACTTTTTACATAATGTCCGGCCACCTGCGTCCCAGAGCTGGACGGCGATGGTCACGTTTCTCAGAACAGTCACCTCGCCCGGGGCCTCTCCGTTTGATGTCTGGACCGGTGATGACGGCTGCCGGTCACATGACCTGCTCCCACTGTGTTACCAGGCCGGGGGAGGGGCGGTCACGTGTGTTACCGGGCGGGGGTTACCGCCATATAAGGCCGCACTAGTGACCTGCACTGATGGGGCGATATGGACCGGTGTCGGTCGGTAGCGGGCCCCGCTGACAAACGGTGCGCAGGAAGATGGATTAGCGGTGAGTGGGAACGGTGCAAGGCTGGCGACCCTGAAGATGTATCACAGATAGAGGGATGAATGGAAATGATATGCATATAATCCAGTGCTCTTCAGTTCGGTTAACCGGTAATGCATGGACAAACGAGGTCGGGTTGAATAATATGGAAGCCGTGAAGTATTCGATATGTGACTCAATACGTGGTTTCAATGTCAAGTTTCAATGTGATTCACAGCGTCATCCGCCAGTGGTTGAGCTGTGTCCAGCTGTTCCCTGGCGCTCCTGCCAGCTACACGGTTTATGTAGCTCGCCGCTCGCTGACGCGGCTCACCGTTCCCGGTAGGCGGTCGGAGCCGGGAGCGGCCCACTAACCGAGTGCCGTGGTCCGGTCCACGCAGACCAGAGTGGTCCGTCCAGACCGGACCGGACCGGTTCAGTGGCCCGCGGCTGAACACTGCATGGGTACCCGCTCGACTGCCCGACTGCTCGACTGCCGCCGCCACGGGTAGCCCTTTCCAATGCTCACGAAGGGAAGGCTGTACTGAGTGTGATACGTTATGTCGTGCCGGTGGCCCGGGCGGCGGCGCTGGCTGCTGGCGGCAGTTCGGGCAGGGCGGAGTGACGGACACGGCAGCGATAATGGCTGACCGGCGCGCGGCGGCCGCCAGCTAACGGTGCTGCCGGCGCGGAGAGCGGCGGCCGGCGGCAGGCGGTCGCTGGTCACTCACTGCCCGTCTGCTGTGAGACTATAGTCCACACTCCGCAGTCCACCGGCCACCGCTCACAGTCTTCAGTCCGATACCGGTCACTCACTGTCTGTCTTGTGTGAGTCCTTCTGTGTCCTGTGAGTCCACAGCCCACCTGCGGCTGGATGACCGCTCAGTGCCCGCCGCCAATCACTCGCTGCCCGTCCGCCAGCCTAGTTCACAGTCTGCCGTTCGTATTCCACAGTCCGCCGACGGCCACCTTATAGCTTCCCGTCTGCTTTGAGTCGAGTCCACAACGCACGTCTCAGTCTGCCGTTCATATCTCGTTAGCCGCAAACAGCCCGTTTGCCGACAGTTCATTGTCCACAGTTCGCCAGTAACAGATCATCTGTTGGTTCACCGCTCACAGTCCACTCCATCTGCCCTCACAGCATCCGTACTTCAAGTCCGTCGATCCGTCTATCCACGACCAGCTGCTTCCAGATAGAACAGACAGTCTAGCGGACTCTACGGTGGTCTGCCGGCTAACAAATGGTCACGGCTGGTCAATCAAATGGTGCACGTGGAACTGGACAAGTCGCTGCGGAGTACGCCGGAAAGGCGGTCCGCGGTACAGGCCGACACGGGAAAACGCCCAGCAGGTGTGCGGATACGATTGGCGTGTTTCCGGGTTGTGGCGGTATGCGCACGTGTCACAAATCTCAGTGGCGGCCAGCTCAGTGGCTACTCAGTGACTACTTGGCTATTCATGTCCTGGGAGTGAGTCGCACGGTAATCAGACCCAGTCGAGGCTTTGGTAGTGTTTCCCACAGACTGCCCGCTCGCCGAGGCAGTGGTCCGTCACGCTGGTCGGGCCTGTCACGAGTAATGACTCGGCGGTGGGGTGTTGTCTCGGTATCATTTCACCGACTCGGCGGTGGGGTGTGTTGTCTCGGTACCATTTCACCGACTCGGCGGTGGGGGGTGTTGTCTCGGTACCATTTCACCGACTCGGCGGTGGGGTGTTGTCTCGGTACCATTTCACCGGCCGGAGCGCCGACCGATTGGTTTGTGTTGTCTGTGGGACGGCCAAACAGTGGGGCTGGGACGGCGACAGGCCGGCGCCGCTCCATACAAACAGGGTGGTGTAACAGTAGAGCACCCCGGGACGCGCCGGAAACAGCGGCGGATGGAGGGATAGGAAACAGAGCGCGGACCGCGCACTGATAGAAAACAGGGCCCCGACAGGTAGAGACAGGGGTAACCAGGAGAGGGGCGGGGTGGGAGCGAGGGAATGACTGCGCAGGCGACGCGCCCGGAAAGCCAGACTAACAAACTAATTAGACCGTTGGGATGAGCACAATGGCAGCCGAGGGCAGGCAATGAAACGCCGGATGTTGTGAGATGTGTGTCAACTTTGACGCTGCAGTTGATATTTGCAACGAATTCTGCACACAAAGGAGCCGATTTTTGCGGTATGTGTAAATATGTGAAATTGTGCTGACACAGCTCTGCGTCTTGTCACTCCCATTTCTCCCCTTTGGCTAGCTTACGGTCTTACGTCTCATTCCTTCGTCCGTCCCTTTCTATCGCGCCGGGGTCGAGTGCCGTCCTGTTCCACCTAGGTCGCTGTCATTCTTACTGCCCCATAACCCCTTAGCTCTGATTTCCGTCTCGCTCTGCTGCACAGTGCACACAAACTGACTAGCGTCACCGCCGTCATCAGTGACGCTGTCGCCCTGTCGGCGTTAGCTGCAGCAGCGGCGGCGGCGGCGTCTCTGATCGTACGGTGATCTACCAGCCGGGTCTGCAGAGTGTGATAGTGGACGGCATAGGGACGTCATTTTGGGCTTCATACGGGACGTCATATTGGGCGTCACATGGGGCGTCATTTGGGTGTCACCTGGCTTGAGATAGGTGCGGCTAGAGTGTCAGGCTAGTGTCGGGTCCAGCTGAGGCGTTATTACATGTCTGCCTACCAGAAAGCAGTAAGCTACTGTAGCTGACCGCTACCAACGGCAGAGTTGATTCCGTCTCCTCCCGTCAGCTCGGTCAGTGAGCAAGCATGTCGGTACTGGGTCGGGTCAGTCGCCTTATCCCTGGCATCTTGAGCCACAGCAGTGGGCGTCTTCTGTGGCGTGTTGTGCGCTCGTAATGTTACATAAACACGAGACGAATATGGGAAGACGTGTGGTCCGAATCGAACGGTTCCGCACGCAGTCGTTACCGCTAGCCAAGTTTGGTCTGATTTGGTCACTGACCTGACGTTGACCCGCTTCAATAATTAATGTCTGAGGTGTGTGTACGCGAGAGACCTTGTTTATTACGGGACTGGGCGGTGCTGATTATGTATGGTTTTCGCCATAGGACAGATGAGGTTTCACTCCACGCTCGAGTGTAAACAGTAAACGACTCGGATGAGAGTAAACTGACTTCCAATGGGAGTAAAGAGTAAAGGGACTCTGATCACAGTAAACTGATCTCTCGATGGAAGTCGATGAAATCTGCGGACGAAAATAAGCTCCACCATTTGAGGTTTAACGCTCGTCACTTCGTACCCTTTGCTTTGGTTGAACAAACATAAATGTGGCGTTGTGGCACAGATGCATGCGGCTGTCATGTCTCTTTCCATTTCCTAAGCGCATTGTGTGACCGTAAGTCTGATTTATGTCTCCCCACTGGGCGCTGCTGCTCGAACTGGAAATGCAGAAGATCTCGGCGCTGTGTGAGCCCTGTATCTAACCCCTGTCTGTCTCTGCCCCGCAGGCGATGCGCCTGGAGCTGGAGATGCAGGAGGAGAAGGTGTCGGCGCTGCGCCGCGAGCTGGACGAGATGGGCGTCTCGGGCGGCTCCGAGGACGAGGTAGCCGCCCTGCGCCGCTCCAGACTCGAACTCCAGCACAAGTGTCAGGAGCAGGAGGAGGAGCTGGACGACATGGCCGGCCAGCTCAGTCTGCTGGAACAGGCCAAACTCAGACTGGAGATGAGCCTGGAACAGATGCGCAAGGAGCACCGCCGCGAGGTGGCCCAGAAGGATGATGAGGTCGAGGAGGTGCGAGCCAACGCCAGCAAAAAGCTCAAAGGTGAGACGACGGACGTATCTCAGCAGGGATCACGGATTAGCCCGGCCTCGGAGGAATGTCGAGCTGTGGTTGGTTGATACGGGTTGATGCTAGGAAGGGTGGGATAGGAGCCGTTTGTTTGACTCGCTTGACCACTTGAATTAGTTGTTTTGCCAGGTGGCAAATAGCTGCTCTATACTCCATTAGATTTAACACTGGCTAATAGAAGCATTAGCGCCATCTGTATCAAAGCTTCTTGTCCTTCATTCTCCAATGGGTGTGATACGGCACAGCCGATCATGCTCAGCTTTTTGCTGAATATGTGTCTGTTGAGTCAAGCTAATAGTTAATACGGAATCCACCGTGCCGTATCGTCTCTAAAAACCAACCAGGCTCACCCTTCCCACCGCGAGCATCACTCTAAAGCCACCATTCTACCATTGCCCACCCTCTCTCTCTCTTACCCAGCGCTGGAGGCTCAGCTGGAGACCGAACACGAGGAGCGCACCGCGCTGGTCCGCGAAAAACACGAGCTCGAGCGGCGCATCATCATGCTGAACGAGAGCACCATCAGCCAGGACGACCAGGAGGCCATTCTGAAGCTGAAGCGGGACCTGAAGCGGACGCGTGCGCTGCTCAAAGACACCCAGTCACAGCTGGAGAAGGCGCGGTCAGAGGCGTCCAGCAAGGTCCAGATCAGACAGCTCAAGAATCAGGTGCGTGCCAACGGTGGGCGGGGGGAGGGTACGGGGGGAGATTGAACTTTTGGAGATTGATGGTGGGAGAGGCTTTGGTTATTTCAAGCAATATGACGCCCCTTTTCGGTAGATCAGTCTCTTGTGTGGAAAGTTTTCTAGTTCTTAAGTATCGTTGTTTTCAAAATATGATACAAATAAGTCGTTTCTCCATTAAACAGCATTTTATTGTATTCACGTCCAAACGTTGTGACAAACGACTGGAACGACTGCTTGCATACGTGCGCATATCCACAGTATGATTAGGACATATCCACAGCCAAATATAGGATAGTATATTTGGTCATTGTTTTCAGAAGCAGTCGCCATCGAAACCAGTATGGTGACTCTGTGGAAGAAATAGCGAAATCATTGCATTAGGGATCATTGCGTTAGGGAAATTGGTACCTATGTACACTGTAATTCGTTTTCCTTCTGCTTATACAATATTGACATTTAGCCTGCAAGCTGGAAATTCATGGTCGTTTGTATTCTGCAGATTTTGCATCCCAGTAATCTGCAATATTTCGGGGCAGCGTGTTTAAACTTTGGAACATGGTTTTCTAGACAGTTGCTGACTTTTCAGCAGACTTTTTCTTGTTGTGTTTTACACGTCTGCGACAGGAGCTATAAAGCATCGACCTCTCCCTCTCATTAAGCCTCCCATGACTGTTTCTACTATACTGAGCAGCTGATCTCTCCCCCATCACAACACGTTACCCATTGACTGCACTGACTGACCGTCTCCCCCTCCCTCTCCGCAGCTGGAGGACGCCGAGTTCGCACGTAACGCGGCGGTGAAGGCGCGCCAGTCGCTGTCCCAGGAGCTGCAGGAGACGCAGGCTCTGCTGGAGGAGGCGCAGCGGGCGCGGACCGACACAGAGACGCGCTACCTGACGGCCAGCCGCGAGCTGCACCAGCTGCAGGCGCAGGTCGACGACCAGGAGGAGGAGACACAGGAGGTGCGTGATAGACACACCCATACAGAGAGTTTTACCAGCAGGAGACGTATGCAAAAATGGACACACAGGCCAACATGTATGGCGCTTGTCGGAGCCGTGCATTTTGACCATAAATTCGGCGTCGCTCAAATTTGTGCGAGCTTGATATTTTTATTTTTAGTATCGCCTGACTTCTTTTATGATTGTCTTGTCAGATGTAACCGATCAATGCCCGCGGAAATATCTTTTCATGGTTCCATTGTTGCCTAAGGCTTCTTCCAGTCTTCCCCTCTACCACTCTACCAGATCCATCCCTGACCTCTCCACTCTGCCCTTGCCCGGCAGGTGATGAAGAAGTACAAGGCTGCCGTGGCTCAGCTGTCTGTCGACCAGCTGACCCTCCAGGACCAGGCCAGCCAGCTCACCCAACTGGAGGCGGAACGCGCCGCCCTGCGCGAGCAGCTGGCCGAACAGGCCACCCGGCTGGACGCGCTGCAGGGCGAGACGGCCTCGGCGCACGACCAGCGCCGCCTGGAGCTGCGCGTGCGCGAGCTCGAGAGCCGCTGCGAGTTTGAGCAGACCACCAAACTGCGCCTGGAGACGCAGGCGGCCAGACTCAAGGAGGCTATTGAGAAAGCGGGCAATGAGGCGGAGCAGGCCCGTCAGCGGGAGCAGCAGTCGGCCGACCAGCTGCGCAAACTGCAGAGACAGGTACGTGAGAAGAGGGGAGGTAGTGTGCTGCTATAAGAAAATGGGGATTAGTTTGTAACTACAAGGAATGTAGTTTGTAACTACAAGGAATGTTTCTTCAAATATTGTACTGGGTTTGCAATATTTGCACGCGAATCGCGTCCCTGACCATGATGGCTCTGTTGGACAATCGGACTGAAAAATGAGTATTATTCAGGTAGATTTTGAATGGTACAGACATGTGTGTGTTATAGCTCACAAGTGCAAAGCCAAGCCATTCATTTCACATGCATCTGATAACAATATTTCCAAGACCCTAAAACTACAAAGTTTCCATGGTGTATTTGCGCACTGAATGCTATGGTTTTTAGCTAACAGTATGAACAGTGAGCAGTGAGCACCATCGCATGTCGCTATTTGTTTCACTAACACACCCGCCCTCTCCGCCAGCTGCGTGAGAGCAAAGACCAGCTGTCTGAGGCCGAGAGGAAAGAGTCGGACGCTGTCCTGCAGGCGCGCAGTCTGGCCAAGGAGCTGGAAATTTCCGAGGGCGAAGTCAGCCAGGCCCGAGCCGACCTCAAACTCGCCTTCAAACGCATCTCCGACCTGCAAAACGCAATGCAGGTGAGTCTAAACTAGACGTTACACTGGACTTGACTAGATTACTCTATGCGGGTAAGCCGACAGACGCAGGCGGCGACTGGTTACATTTATCAACCGGAAGGGTTGCGATCAAACCCACCTATCTATCCCGGGAATGGAGTCGGGTGGGTGGAATGGGGCGGTTAGCCTTGATCAGACTGTTTTGTCCATCCACCCCTTCCGGAACCGAACCGGTCATCATTGACCTTCATTGGCCGGTGATCATTCAGTCCATTCAGCTACTGAATACGCTAGATCTGCCCATTTAGGGAGTCTCGGAGGGTTTGGCGGTCGCCCGGGCTAACTATCCATAATGCATGTCGTTTGCTGCTATCTGCCGGCCGGCCGGGACTGGCTGATTAGATCACCACAGGATGTGGCATTGCCGGCACGGTCGTAGTAAGGCATGTCTCGTACCCCTGTGGTCGCCCAAACTATTCCGATGGGGCCGAGCTGACGCAAGCTTTCCATATGCAGCGGGATCTGGGCGCGGGTCTGTATTTGGAGCCGACTTTCGCTCTCCTGGTCACGATACGTTGTCTGATAGTGCGCCGTACCTGACTTCTTATAGATCGATCGTCTGAAAAGCAGTCTTTAAAAATGTCCAGCTCTCCGGTCTTGATCTAATCTTATGATGTGCGCTTTGACCTCTGTTTTGTCTCGGTACTGGCTCTCTGATCCTGATTTGACATCTTGATCAGTTACGCGCCGTCCTTTACCTTACAGTACGTTTGACTTCTTTACTCTGACGTGTTGTCCGCGCGGTCCTATCACCCTTAATGACACCGTTAATTTATTTACCTGTAGACCCCTTGTGAGCCCCTCTGACCCTGTGTGGTCCTCTCTGACCTCTGTATTACCCCCTTTCTGACCTCTCTGTGCCCCCTCTCTGACCCCTGTATGACTCCGTCCCGGCAGTGTGAGCTGGAGTCTGAGCCGAGTGACTCGGACGCCGGCTCTGACTCGGACGAGGACCTGGACAGTTTTCTGTCGGCGCACATGGCGACGGGCGCGGGCGGCGGCCGGAGGACCTCCGCGGCGGCCTCCGGTCAGCCGCTGAGCATCCTCACCGACGGCAGGTGAGACCAGCGAGAGACCGAGAGGAGAGGGGAGACGCGAAGGGAGGGAAATGTGGGACGGAGGATAGACGACGTGAAATAACGGAACGGAGGAAATATGGCTGGGAGATGACGGGACGTGGGGTAGAAGAAGAGTGGAGGTGAGATCATGCAATGGAGGCGAGAGACGCAGACGAGAATGGCAGTTATATCGCCACGATTGAGGGATTGACTGAAAAAGTTTTAGACAGTGACGGAGGGAGATACGATGGGGAGCAGGGACAGACCAGGGACGTAGGAGGGATAGATCAGGCAGCAGTCACTGGACTGTCGGGGGGCCGATATTATGGATCCGTCTACGATTATGTTTCTGAAGCGGCTGTTATGTAACTATCGAGCCTGTCGCGACGTTAGTCTGTAACTAATGTAACATGAATTCGGATAGATTGTCGATCAAAGGTCTTTTTGCCGATAGGGTTATCTAAAAAGATCTCAATGTGGGTTACCTGCTGCGCAGTCCATCGAACATGCTGAGGCACGTAGCTGCTTTCAGTTCGTTTTGACATGCGGATTCTCTTCTGCAGCTAACTCTTTTTGGTACTGCAGCTCCTATCATAAGTCATTCTGCAATTGAAATGTCAAATGACTACACTACTTCACAGCGTTTGTATGTTGTGAGTCCTTGTCGCTCCTTGACTGGGGCCCCGGCCGTGTCTACTAACCGATCGCTGTGCCCCTGAGGGTGCCACATCACCTCTGACCTCACCGTCTCTCTGTCTCCGGCAGGTCGGCCGGCTCCGAGTCGACGCCGCTGTCGCCGCTCTCCCTCACCTCTGACCCGGAGCTGAGGCCGCGACAGAACGGAGCGCTCGAGTCGGACGCGTGATGCGCCACCGGCCGACCCCGCCCCGGGTCCACATACCGTGATAGGTGGCGCCGCCGCCGCGCGTCCCGGGCCGACCGACGGCTGTGAGCCGCCCCGTGCCGCCCCCGCCCCCGCCCGCGCCCGCCGCCGGCGACAGAGCGCGTGTTTGGCTCCTGTGCGAGTGTCCGCCGCAGCGTCACACACTAACACAGCCCAATAGTGTGTTGCCCCGCACTTATGTCCTTGATTCTCAGGCACCTCCCGCTCCCCGCCCACTCCACCGCCCCCGCCCCCGCCCCCGCCGATGCTGCCACAATCATCGATCGCTGCGGCTTCCCGCTGGCCGATCGGTAGTGCTTCCGACCCCACTATTTATTGTTAGCCCGTTAGTATTCCTGTGGCGTAGCCGAATCCCCATGTGTTGCGCCTCCGCGCCTCCACCAGCCGCTGCATAATCAAAATTCAGGTGTTCTCAAGGAGATATAGTGGCTTGCCAAAGGCTTGTGCAGAGGCCACGGGCTGCGCGGCACGTTTTCTCTCCTCTTTTTGGATCAAAGAGTCGAGATCGAGAACGAGAGTGCTTGTTGCTGATACCACTGATTGCGCTTGCGCTTTTCGACGAATGGATTGTGTTGATTTGTGGTGCGAGTTGATTGCTTGCGCCGGTGTGTGCATTGTATACATATGTGGATGTATTACCAATCGTAACGCATTGTGGATGTTTACAGTTATGACTGTATATCATTGAGTGAAGTGAATATTATAATGATGATTTATGACATGAAAATATATACCTGATTCGTTGAAGCAGTGTTACTGAATGCTGTTGTGGGCGTGGCGGATACTGCGAAGTTGTATCTGCCAACGTGTTTGACGTAACTGAAGTGCACTTTCACTGGCTATGGGAACTGCAAACTCGAGTGTCTGGTAGGAAGGTGTGAAGAAAATAGGTATTAAATGTAATTATATTCAGCTTGGACACACTAGCGGCGGACACCTTCAACAGCTAAGGGGGGGGGGGGGGGGGGGCACTGCCGACTTTTGGTCCCATTCTTTCTATGCAACGTCCATAGGGCTAATGTTAAAATGCCAAAATCAAAGGGGGGCACGGTGCCCTCCCTGTTCCGCCGCATATGCCAGTAGCGGCGGAACACCTTCAATCAAGGGGGGGGGGGGGGCACTGCCGACTTTTGGTCCCATTCTTTCCATGCAACGCCGATAGGGCTAATGTTAAAATGCCAAAATCAAAGGGGAGCACGGTGCCCCGGTGCCCTCCCCGTTCCTCCGCCTATGATGGAAACCCTAGAATTACTGAGGGTTTATGCCCAGAGATGAAATATTTTGCTATCCCAGATGCATTTACTAAACAAGCATATGCTAGATGAAAACTAATGCGCGCGCGACACTCGACAGGTCCCGAAGCACCAATCACCATGATCATAGATGAAATGACTTGTGACGTCACAAAACTGCTGTTTTCCTAAAGGGTATTTGAAAAAGGCTACCTTGTGCTGGGTGGCAAAAACTGCGCACGAAGACAAACATAATTTTGCAGAGGCACGGCGGGCGGCGCCGATCAATGGAGATCTACGGCGATGATAGATAGTTGACAAATTTGATTTAACCAGTATATTTACGATTTTACGCTATCAGATTATTGATCGTAAATCCGTGTGAAATTTGAATTGACAAGATGGACCGACGAAAGCTGTCGTGAGTATCTGCCCTGAGCCTCTGAAATCGATCGAGCTTTCTCTTGCGCCCCGTTATCGTCTGAGTCGCTGTTAAATAATTTTTATGTCTTTTGTGTCATTGAATTGTCTTTTCGATATTGTAACTGATTGGCTAATATATTCATCATTTAATAAGTATGTTATCCTCACATCACAAAGATAAAAGATGGTTTTCGTTTGACACATCTTAGTTTTTTCCGACTGACTTGATTTCTAGACAAGACATATAGGTAGGTACTGATACTAGATCAATCTGCCATTTTTGCATATGTTAACTGCTTTGACAAATAACTTCTCATTTGGAATGAAGGCGCCTTGCTTGAACCGTTTGCCGAGCCTGCAGATGAAAGGCGGAAAATTTAAGAAAATATTTGATAAGAAAAATTTGAAAACAAGAAAACTTGGGATGACCTGCACTGCACCAATTTATGATATGAGTTCAAAGCTTATTTTTCTTTTGAACTAATTGAAAGTATACAGAACTTAATTTAGATGAAGTGCTGCTTCAGTCATTATCATTCTCATGGCAAGTCATGACTCATAGGCATTTTTTAGCACATGCCTGGAGGGAGTCAAAGCAGCTTAGATGACTCTGACTGTCCTGACAGCTGACTCAACTTCCTGGCTGATTGCCATGACTCTAAGTGACTGGCTGTGACCCAGTCTGCAAAGTATGGCAATTTCAACAAGATGTCGTCGGTGCAGGCTTGTTTGGCTGCTGCGGATTTGGTGAGGTGCAGTGTGGATATGGCTTGGTGCGGTGCAGATTTATTGAAGTGCGGTGTGGAATTGACTGAGTGACAGACATGACAGACCAGACGAGATAGATGAGGAAAATCGGAAAAAAACGTTGGAGCTTCGACATCACGTAATTCAGTGTGCTCTCATAATTCAGTGTGCTCCCGGGTCTAAATGAGTGTGGGGTGGTCAGAATGGACTGCCAGTGCTGGTGGTCCCATCAATCACGTGGGATGCCCGTAAGTTCGCACTCTGCACTCTTGCAACTCGAAACGCACCACTCGGCTTTGCGATGCGCCGGCGGTAGTGTGAGGGAAATGAGCACGGCCGATGAGAGGGCCAGAAAATCACCGCTCCGCCGCTGCAAGCTGTCAAATGCAAACAATTTATCGGGTACGTTCGACGCAGCTAAAAGGTTGCGTTGAAAGAATCTGAGTTTGCTGCATTTTGCACTCGGCAGCATTCGTAAACGAGATGCGCTCGGCGTTGCGTTCGGCTCATGTAGCGGGTTCGTGCGTTTTTTTTTTCTGTTTTTGTTCTCTCAGACTACTCTTTGCTGCGGATTTTCCGGCTCTGTTTGAAGGATTGGTGCGGATTTTAAACTTGGGCCGGTGCGCCTCGTCGACCTGCGAGCCTTACTTTGCAGACTGGGCTGTGACTGTGAAACCTTGCTCTGAAGCTATATTTCAATTTTTATCCCTGTGAAATATCTATCCAAAAGGTGGTATGAGTAATGAGTATTCAACCACAGTGATTGAATATCATCCTATTGATCTCATCATAGTTTCTCCTCCCCCTCTAACATATAACATGCAATACCTTTGTTACAGGACTCAGGGAGATTCCTTGTATGAACTGCTCAGCTTACCTAAGACAGCAACTCAGGAAGAAGTAAAGAAGACATACAGAAGATTGGCACTGAAGTTTCATCCTGACAAAAACCCAGACAACCCTGAGGCTGCTGAAAAGGTACCTGGATACAGACATGATTCTACAGGGTGTTTCATAAAGAATGTCAATTTTAAATTTGCCATATTAGTCATATAAAACAATATATTTGCATAATTTTCAGATTCACATACACCAGAAGACTTGGACATTTGATTTTTGTCTGTTCACTTTTCTCTATCTAGACAAACGGTTCCACGACAGCCCCGTGAAGATTATGCACTATCGGGCCCGTCCACGGATATGGCGCACGGCTCGGAGCACTTCTTCGCAGTCCATGGGGGAGTCAACGAAGTCTTGCTCTAAGTCTAAAGCGAACCCTAAAGCGAAGGGTTAACTCTAAGGTGAAGCCGAAACTTTCTCATAAATTTGGAGATGTTCTTGAGGCTTCCGAGCTGTAACACTATCCACGCCTTCTGTTCTTTCGAAAATGGCGTATTAATCATTTGAGCACGGCGAGCCGCGAGGTGAACCCGACATATCCCGTTCTGAAAAAGGAATGACAACAACTTTGGCACTGAATGCTATTTATATAAAATGTCCATCAATTTCCAACAATACTTGAAAGTTTGCACGTGCTAGACACATTTTTTCTTTTTGAACTCCCCAGTTTAAAATTGACATTCATTATGAAACACCCTGTAGATGGACACGGTATAGAAAATATCAACACAGGGCAGAAGGCAGAGCAGAGATGATGAATTGCTAATGGTTATCATGTGAAATGAGCTCAAGCAGCATTATGATTAATGTGAGATATTGAATAAATATCGCATTAATGTTACCTACAACAAATGACTACCTCTAATTCAGTTACAATAGGTGGATGTTTGCCCATTGTCTATGTTGTGCACTGTGCATTCACTGAAATGCACACAGTCCATTTCCACCCCTCTTCTTTCCACCCACCTATTGATCGCCCACCCTTCAGTTCAAGGAGATCAACCGCGCGCACGCCACGCTCAGCGACCCGATCAAGCGCAACATCTACGACAACTACGGCTCGCTGGGGCTGTACATCGCCGAGCAGTTCGGCGAGGAGAACGTCAACACCTACTTCCTGGTGACGTCCGGCTGGTGCCGCGCCCTGTTCGTCTTCTGCGGCGTCATCACCGGCTGCTACCTGTGCTGCTGCTTCTGCTGCTGCTGCAACTTCTGCTGCGGAAAGTGTCGGCCGGCACCGCCCGACGAGTCGGGAGCGTACCATAACCTCAACGTGAGTACAGTCGAGGGGTGTTCACTATGCAGCAATCTGGCTCATTGGGGACTTTAGAAATATCAGTGTATGATGGTTTATTTGTTAATTTTATCAGCGCAGTGTGTAACTGCATTCTTAGTAGTCAGAATGCATGGTAGAATGCTACAGTTTTGCTTGGTTGTCGCATTGATGTGAGGCCATTAATTCTGTTGGTTCTAAGCTTAGTGATGCCAGATGCATTGTAGGCCACTTGCACTTCCTTTGTTTATCATTACTTGCACTTTTCCTCATTGTTTAACTTAATATAGTTTGAGTCAGCACGAAAACGGTTTTATGATAATGCCTGTGTGTGCGCCAGACATGCGAGGCAATGCATTATCTGCATGACAGACCAATAAGCCATCAGCTACTGATCGTTCGCACGATTGTGATGTCAATGTCCCCATTGTATGACATTATTACTTGTTTACTCGTTTGCCTTACCCCTCGTAGTAGCTAAACCTGTCCAACCACAGGCCATTATCAGACACTGATCCCTGTATGCCTCTAATCATGTTGTTAGCAAGCTCGCCTCCACAACTCAGCCCCCCCCCCCCCCCCCCCGGACCCCAGGGGTATGCTCTGCACCATACGTACCGTATCGGCTGCATTTGTCCCCGCCTCAGACCGCATGTAGCTACCCTCTGGAGGCGTCACCTGCCCGTGCACCCCAGTCTAGTCACTGTCTGCTGGCCTGCTCCCCCCAGCCGGAGGGAGGCGCTGTTGTCACCGAACAGCCGCGCTCAGCCGTCAGTGGTCAGCCAGTCGCTGCCCCCGCCGCCGGGGTCGGTAAGGTATCGCAAAATGTCGGGGCTATGTATCATGCCTCTATTTTTTCTTTTTTTAGTATAGTGCATGCATTTCGTACGCCAGACTAGATGCTTTTAAAGCGCTCGTCTTTTCGTTGGTTTTAGTTTTTTGTGATGAATTTGACAGTGTTTGTTCTTGAACACCGCCACCAGTCACAAATGTGCTCTCAGACTGTGGGCTGTGAAGACTGAGCACCTCATGGGCCGTTCCCGCTTTGTAACTATTTTTCTCGCACTGTACCCGGTCTCTGACTGCCCCCTCTCACGCCCCCCCCCCCCCCCCCGGCAGCGTGACGGGAATATGTGACTCTCCTTGTCTATAACCCCCCTTATCTGTGACTCCCCTGATCTGTGACTCCCCTGATCTGTGACTCCCCTGATCTGTGACTCCCCTGATCTGTGACTCTCATGATCTGTGACTCCCCTGATCTGTGACTCCCCTGATCTGTGACTCTCTTAATCTGTGACTGTCCCTCTCACCCGTCGCTGCCCCGACAGGGTGACGGTGATCAATGACTCTCCTGATCTTTGACTACTGATCTGTGACTGTCCCCTTTCACACCGTGCCCGATCTCTGACCGTCCCTCTGTGGGCGCTGCCCCGGTAGGGTGACGGTGATTTGTGACTCCTTATATCTGACCGTCCCTCTCGCTCGGCCCTCCCCCGGTAGGGTGACAATGAGGAGGACGTGGATCTGGAGGCGGGCGCCGCCGAGGAGCCCGTCACCAACCAGCCGCAGGCGTTCGCCATGCCGCCGCCGCCGGCCGCCGCACCCTCCCCGATGGGAGGCGCCAACCAGAGCCAGCCGGGACTGTCGCATCAGTCGAGCAACCCCAACAATCCGTTCACGATGGGCGCTGCCGAGCCGGCCACTGGAGGTGGGTCAGGGGAAGGGTGGTGGTGTGAGCAGTGTCGCTTTGCGGGCTGTGAGAATTGACGCTCATTGCTGTAAGGGCTCAGTCGTAGAGAATGTTTGGTACTTTGCCTTTTTATGATACACTTCGGCTTAAAGAACCTACCTACGGAAAAATTGCTGAACATAAATGGTAAAATCAGCATGAATGAATTCAATTGAATGTAAATGCTGAACACACCATATTATTTTGTATCGGCCTTGGTCAATATGTTTATTTTTGCGCTTACTTGCTGCTAAGTAATGCGAGTTGTAGTAGTTAAAAGAGTGGTTTCATTCAGGATAGCGTCCAAAAAGCCTGATTGCTTTGATTAAGTTCTTGCATAGACACTTTGCTCTCCGTTCGTGGAGGTAAATTTGACACTATCCTCGATGTTCCAGGATACGGTCTGCAGTAATGGCCCGACTCTCTTAATGCGGCTCGCACCTGCTGTGCGGAGGGCGGCGGGCGCCTGACGACCGCCGGCGCCCCGTCCCGGTCTCTTCACACCCTGACACCGCCGCCCGCCGTGAGTCGACCCCGCGCGGGTCCCCGGGCACCCCCACACCGGCATACAGACATCAGTTACAGCGCGGTACAGTTCAGTGTCGATTTACTTTGTTCGGCGACACTGCGCGGTCGAGGTAGGTAGGTAGTGAGGCGGTTTCGAGTCGGTTTGTGTTATTCTATGATTCACATATCCACAGTGGGAGGTTCTGTGTGCGTCACCGGCCGTCTGCCGTGACGTTATAGGAGCTCAGTGTTTGCCGCCGGGCCAGCAGAAAATCGTCGATCGTGTGGACGTGTTGTTGGTGAGAGCAATATTGGATGGCCCGCTGCGCCGCCAAATAGGCCACGTTGAACATTCCCCTCGTAGATCAGGATAAATTAGAAAACTAGGCGGTTTAAACAGGTGCCTAATTGCAAAGACGACGGCACGTAGTTCTTCGTGTTGAATATTGCAATGATTACCTATATTATATTGACAAGGTTGATGTTCTCGATTTCGATCGATTAAAAGTTAATCAACAATTACTAGAAGACCATAAGAACGACCTTACATTAGGTTGTGAGTCTAGTCGAATTTATCGTTTAGCACAGTTTATTGGATTTAAAACTTTGGTACCTTCATTCTGATCTTGACACTTTGTCGGCCCAATCACCCAGGCCAGGCCAGTCTGGTCTGTCTAGTCTGGTCTGGTCTGTGCGGTCTGTGTTCTGACGCGAGTTTCGCACTACCGTCGCGCCCCCTGTATGTATGAGAGGCTCCAGCGCGCGCCGAGCGCCCTAGTGGCCACCGGCGCTGACACGGGCCCGCCGGGTAATCCCCCGCGCCCGCTCCGGTGACCCGGCCGTCTGTTGTCTTCAATCACCGCGGCGTATGAGAGGGCTCGGTGCTAGTGCGCTCCAACTGTCCGCGCTTGTACATTCATTTTGTTGCTACTGTGATGTCATGCGTTTTCGAATCCATGATTATCTTTTCATGTGGGTATTTATTTAGCTATGATAGTGGAGCTGTCGTTTTGTGATTATCCTAGTCGCTTCGATCAGCAGTATTCGGGCTAGTTTTGATCCGATGTATTTGCGAAGCCTCTTCTCGTGTGCGTGATACTTCCAATTCCAGGTATTCTCGTAAATCTCTACCCTAGTCTAGCTTCCGCGGCGTTTTGCCATGCCTGCCTCTCCTCTTAGCTCGACGTTCTTCTTCTCCTTCTAGCCGCTGCCCCGGGAGCTCCCCGCTTCCCTGGCTCGGGGTCGTTTTGCCGTGTCTATTATTTCAAACTCTGGTCGGTAGTCGATGAGCGTGTGTCTGTCTGTGTCTGCCCGTGCCTGTTAATAGACGAATCGCTTTGGCGGCGAGTGAATACTGTGTGGTTCTGAGAAATCCGGCGAGAAAGCTGGCAATGATCGGCGTAAGTGTTCGGATTAAAACTAATGGCGTCATGAAAGGGCACCAGGCTACATAAGTGGTGGCTGAGGATTTTTTATTGGGAGCTTCATGAAGCTGGAGAGCTAAGGATAGGTTATCCTCGATTGGTATTAGTAATGCATCATACACCAGCTTGATCTCCGACACGGTTTTCGGACGACTCCGCTAAAGGTGTATCAAAAAACGGCAATGCTTGAGAATGTTTGTGAAAAACAAAGGGAAAGACGTTGAAGCGGCCACCGCCACAGTGAAATCTACTGGTGCTGTTTGTTGTTTTCGGTTATTTTCATTTTTCTGAAAGGCACCGGACATATGTCTTCTACACGGGTTCGGTTTGGATTACCTTCGTCAAAAATGGTCGCAGAGCCGCGGTTATGGCGGCATCGTGTTTGCCATGCTCAGGCTCGTCGAACGATATGCTTTTTGGTTGGTTAAGGTCAACTTAGGGTGTTGACCTCAGGTCAAGGTCATAGCCTCTCAGGTCACGAAGTTGATTGATGGAGGTCGTATCGCGTCACATCGCGAGGTTGGTCGATGGAGGTTGAACTCTGAGGTTGGTTGAGGTTGAGGACTGACCTGACCTCAGGTGACTCTCAGGAAAAAAATATGAGATATACATACAAGTCGTGAAAACTGGGGTGTTAATAAATCCGGTAAGTTTTATCTCCCTGTGAAAGCTCCTCTTGCACTGAGGAAGTTGCAAAGTTGCGACATTTTAGGGCCGTGCAGAGCTTCTATGTATTATATTTTCACGGGTCAGTGACCTAACCTGACATGAAAATACGGTTTGTAGGTATCACAAGATGTGGCTTAAATCAAAGGTCATTTGTGAAAAATTGCAGCTCTCTATCCCCGGTGCTTCCGAGCACTCGCTGAAAAACGTCAAGGGGGTGACACCCAGTGACCCGCCCCCACTTCTCGGCCGTCGAGGTTTAATATAGGCAAAGTTTAATAACGTCCACAGCGTACTCATGTATTATGAAAAATACGACAGGTACAGTTGTTCACATTCACAATAAATATCACAACACAAACACGAAATGCCGCATTGCAGTCAATTTAGTAGGCGGGCTTGTAGACCGGGGCAGGCTTGTAGGGAGCCGGAGCGGGCTTGTAGGGGGCGGGGGCCGGCTTGTAGGGGGCGGGCTTGTAGGCCGGGGCCGGGTGGTACTCGGGGTACTGGGCCTCGCCCTCGTAGGTGACCTCGGCGTTGAATCCGCCGTAGTGGTCGGCGACGTACTTGACGTGCTGGGTGCGGCCGTCGGGCAGAGCCACCGAGTAGTAGCCCTGGGTGTTGTGGCCGTCGCTCTCCTCCTTCTTGGCGAAGTTGGTGCCCGTGTAGTGGTCGTTGACGGCGTAGTCGTAGGCGAACGGCTTGGGCTCCTCCTTGTACTGGGGCTCCGGGTGGTAGGGGGCCGGCTTGTAGGCCGGGGCCGGGTGGTAGGGGGCCGGCTTGTAGGGAGCCGGGGCCGGGTGGTACGGAGCCGGGGCGGGCTTGTAGACGGGAGATTCCGGGGCCGGCGCGGCGGCAGCCACGGCCAGGACGGCGGCAACGATGAAGACCTGAAACATGATACACAGTCGAAATTTAATACATTTATGGATCGACGGCATTGGATTGAACAAAACTACTGTTTCTTTGCAAATATGAATTCTGTTTTTTTTTTAATGTTGCAATCTTTTTAGCTCATAAATATCTCTACATTCGGCGGTCAGAAAACTAGGCACTTTTCTTGGCGCAAAGGCACTTCTAAACATCACTGTCGCCACGTCAGGTCACTGCACGACACTGCACTGCTCGCCGCGGTCCGCTGTGCTGGTCTGAGGCCGGCCGGCTGACCCCGGTCCCAGCGGTGGAGTCGGCCACTGTACCGCCGCCAGCCGCCAGCGACGCTCGCCACACGGGGGACACGGACAGCTGCACGTGCGGCCGTACCTTCATGGTGGTGCGGTGTGATCCGGGGTGGAGCAGAACTGGTGCCGAGCCGTGCCGCCGCCGCCGTTATATAGGTGGTCCGGACGGCGGGGGTCACGGCCGCGGCGCTCCGGCGGTGCCGCTGTAGAGAAGGGGGCCAGTGTCGCCGGGTGGGGCAGAGCAGGGCGCCGACAGTTGTAGGGCATGGGGCACCATCAGCCTAGGGCAGGGCACTGCGAGCTCCGAACGGCAGTATATATGGGAGTTTATTATTGCCCTCGCCAGACCTACCTGTTTTCTGCGTTCGAACCGGCCGATGGGGGATGGGGGAGGAACATCTTGCCGTTTCGCCCCAGTTGCGCTAGGTATGGATTCAGAGAAAATAAGCGCGTGTGCCGTTAATATACGTAGCGATTAATACCCAATTTTAATGTCACATGGCAGCCAGTGACCTCTAAGTCAACTCAAATGTCCCAAGGTACGGGTTAGGTCTTTATTGAATGAATTCGCTTAAATAGTTGCAGAACCTCGATTTTGTGTTATTAATGGCCAGTCGCGTCAAGTGATTTTTTTTTTTGGGGGGGGGGGGCGAAGTCAACTTAGTGTGTTGTGTTGAACTTTGCCAACATATGGTGTTGACCTTATGTCAAGGCTGGGTCAGGGCCGCCGAGGTCACAAAACTCGTCGAGACAGGTCGTATTGGACACGATTCGCTTTGGCAGGTCTTTCCAAGTCCATTGGTGGCTTTCCCGACTCCCCAGCTTAATTTGATCGGGATTTATTGACGAAAAATTTCGATGACCTGAGTAACGTCATATATGACGTCACGTAAGGTCAGCAATGCAACTATCAAGCATCAGACCTTGCCAGGACTCAGGAGTGTGTTCAATCGCGATTCCATGTCCTTGAGATAGTTTTGAACCATTCTCGGTGCCGAAATAGCAGTTTGCATATTTTCCCCATTGACTGATAATGGTGAGATCACGTAACGGACCTAAACCCAGGTGCACTTTATGAAACCTTCGTGAAATACGAGTTTAGAGCACTTGGGAGTTCACGAAGTCCTGAAAGTTCCATCTCCCTGCGAAAGATTCTCTAACACTGAAGGCTTTGCGAGGTTGCGACATTTTAGGACCGTACAGAGGTTCACTTATGACGTCATAGACCAGTGACCCGACCTGACCTGAAATTGCGGTTGGTATCGCAAGATCCGGCTTGAATCAAAGGTCGGATGTGCCGACTTCCAGCTATCTAAATCCAGCGCTATCTCCGTGGGTGGCACCCACCCCGCTCCCTCGGTCTGAGAGGGTTACCTAATCAGCTACTTTTTACTCTTACCTACTCTTATCTTAGTCTTCTCTTTCTACACTCTGTACTGGTGTGGCGTGTGCAGGGCCCAGATGTCTATGCCACGATATATTTTCATAATCATAACTTATCTGCTGTGTCCTTTATGTGCAATAACAAACAAGGAGTTGATGGCCAGCGGCTAGCTGGGAGGTCAGTTGAGGTCAGTTGAGTTTATAAACATTTTTGTCAATAATGTTTGCAAGGAGAAAGCTAGTGCGCTGTAGGTATATGATCTCAATGTGCTCGTGTTGCTGCGACGCATATTGACTGATTTGCAACATGACCTTCGACTTTTTTACATTTGACCTTTTTTATTCGACGAGTTTCATTGAGAGGAATGTAATGATAGTGAATAGAATGTAATGTAATGAATGTAATGATAGCAAAATAGATTTGACGGGTAAAATTTGAGTTAAAAAACGGCAGCTGCGAAAAGTGATGATCCTTGATTTTTCTGAACTCTTTACGAAAGGCGGTTCACCTAGCGTGAAATCTGTCGACAAATTACGGGAAGGTTTGTCATTGAACTACCGATTCCCTTTTTTTTGCCCATCTACAGGGTGTCCAGAAAAAACGGATACTATTATTTTTTGCTGTAGGTAATTCCAAAAATAAACACCGCACATTTTAAAATGGTACATGCTTGTATTCGCAAAAATATGGCAAAACAGACAGCAGGTGCCACATGACATGTAAACCCTTTGGTCAGTCACGGCAGCTCCTCAAAGCAGATTCTCAATGTGAGCGGCCTTCCGGCGGATCAGCTCCAGCCAAGGGCGGCGCCACCGTGGGGGCAGTGGGGGCAGACTGCCCCCACTGGCAGGAGGCCGTGGGGGCAAGACTATGTTTTTGCCCCCACAAAATTTGGCTGATGTTGAAAAGGGAACAGAAGACCGGTGCAACATTCATGATAGGCGGTTAATAACATAATAGTACGCCTGTTTTTGACCGTCCCCGTATCAAGTGCATCAGCAAAACGTTCGTTCTCGGACCGTCTGTCGCATATCTCCTACTCCCACTCATTCTTCTACTCTTTTTCATTTGCACCAGAAGGCTGCCCTCGAGCTTGACCTCGAGGAGGTTGAGAGGCAGCTGGTCAAAAGTCGGCCAGAGAAGAGATCTTTTGGGAAACCTTAGACTGAGACTGAGCTCAGGAAGGTGTGACAAAATGTGATGGGTGATCCTGGTTATCTGGAAATGTGTGTGGGTCGCCCTAATGGAGCTTATTCTGGTATCAATCGTGTGTGAGAAATCGCACATATACATACGTACTACGGGAAAAAGAGAACTAGGTACTTACTAACTATTGTTTGGAGGAATAGACCATTTTACATCTCAACGAACAACATAACGTTTTCACAGGTTTGTGTCTCGCAATCTAGTTTTATAGTTTTATTTGCTCGCGACCTTTTAACCCGGCCGGGCCCGGGGGTAATCCCAACCACCGCAGCCCGGGGGTAGCCCCCCTCCCCCCACCTGTCTAACTCCGTAAATAAGGCAGCTACGTAAACAAAAATGGTACCAAATGAAAGATATCTACGAGAAGATTCTTAAAACCCCTAAACCTTTTGACCTCAGGTAAATTTTTAAGGCCAGAAGTCAATGTCAAAGGCAAAAACCGGCACTTTTGTATAGTGGTCTCAAAGTACGTGTTCCAGAGGACGGCATGGTGCATAAAACCGGCTAAAATGCAGATGTTAAACGAAAGACGAGAGTCTGGAATTCCCATGATGTGCATAACATTCAAATTCAAGGTCACGGTCATGCTCAAAATTGGCCACAAACTTTGCACATTTTTCTTATACTTTTTCTCTTTCACTTATTCAAGTCAGGCATAATACCTATATTAAGACACGTTTTGCAATCCTGAGGCTCTAAACGAATGCTTACGCTTAGAGCAAAATGGATGCCAGAATCGTGATCAGCGGCTACGAAATAATCACAAACGACCTTTCATGTGTCAAAGTCAACCAAAGGTCATTCGAGGTCACATGAGGTCAACATAAAACTTGACCTTTTCAAAACAATATATATGTCATTCGACGCGACTCGACGAGACGAATGCGAAGATATCTCTGCCGTAGCATCATTTTTGTTGAAGTTATTTGCGAAAAAAAAACTAAAGCCCCAGCTCGGGGTCGTTGACCTGATCTCTGACCTCAGGTCACCAAAGTTACTTAAGTATTTTTTATCGGTCAAATGCTACACAACCACGCTCGTAATTTGTCTTTATCTCTAAAACTCTATTTTTTGGCAGGTGGTTGAAGTTCACGTCTGTGGCGCCGAAGTTTGCCTGGAGAAATCGGCCCTGAGACGTTATCAAGGAGGCTATGTCCAATTTTGTTGCTTCAAAAAATGTTAAATTAATGGGTGATAAGGTACAGCAAATTTTGGCTTTCTATCCCTAAGCGTTCGTGAGGCATCGCAAATATTCGCCAGGGGGAGGCGAAAAACGCCCCCCCCCCTCTCTTCCGCGCGGGCCCGCGAGGGTTAATGGTTCAGCTCAATACGAAATGCATGAAACCTGAAACCATAATAGTTTTGAATAGCAACATCTAGGGGCAAGGTGCTCATGGATTTTGCAGATCGGCGTATCAGACAACAGTCGGGTCACCTCAATCTTGCCCCCACTGGCGAAAATGCGTGGCGCCGCCACTGGCTCCAGCACTAGCACAGTCTGCAGATGACTGATGTCATGTTGACCATCTCGGAGGGCAGGCAGACAACTTTCCAACGACGTATTACAGCGCGCATGAGTTTTGCCACATCTTGCACTACAAGCACATGAAGTTGGAAAGAAATCGGCACGTGCGTTAAAGGAAATAGTTCACTTTCACGAAATTATTTTTTTGCAACGGATTTATGATTTTTTATGTTCAAAATAATCAGCAAAGAAAATAAAACCTTTTTATAACAAAATATTCTTTTCTATATTTTGATATAGGAAGAACTTTTCAGTTTCTGTAAGGCACACGCGATCCAGTATGAAAAGAGCATGGGTCCCGAAAATTCTTCAGAAACAGAGAAATTATCGCAGCCACCGGCATTTGGGCGATCTGCTCGATCTGATAATGTTCCCCTGAATGTCCTAATTGATCAGTACGAGAATTTCTCTAGAGTTCTCGTAGATAATTTCTCTAGTTTCTGAAGAATTTTCGGGACCCAATGCTACTTAATTTCCGTAGTATCTTTTTTCCTGGACACCCTGTACATATGTTCTTTTAGGGCCTACCCAGGTACGGCGTCGGAATCTACCGGCCTCAGTCCGGAAAATCGCAGAATGTAACTTTTTTATGACCTTCATTAGCTAAAGTATTCACATTGAAGAAGATTACCTACATTCTTTCGAAAGTGGTCGCTGAGAGCTATCGTGTCCACTGTCCATTGAACTTGTTTTGCGCTTTTCTGACCCCTTTGCATTTGATATAATCGTCGAGGGTATTTTCGCCCCCTTCACCGTGCCGAGGTTGGTTTTTGCATATTTTATTTAGCGCAGGACGAGAACATTTGGACAATAAATAATGTTGCACTCATTCCTAACATTAAAAATCGAATTCACCGTTTATTGGTACTTAGGCGCAGGCTTGTAGGGGGCAGGAGCGGGCTTGTAGGCCGGGGCCGGGTGGTACTCGGGATAGTTCGCCTCGCCCTCGTAGGTGACCTCGGCATTGAATCCGTTAGTATGATCGGCGGTATACTTGACGGTCTGGGTGCGGCCGTCGGGCAGAGCCACGGTGTAGGAACCCTCGGCGTTATGGCCGTCGCTCTTCTCATTCTGGGCGAAATTAGTGCCGGTGTACTTGTCGTCGACGGCGTAATCGAAGGCGTACGGCTTGGGCTCCTCCTTGTACTGGGGCTCCGGGTGGTAGGGGGCCGGCTTGTAGGCCGGGGCCGGGCGGTAGGACGGCGGGTTCTCCGGAGCCGGGGCACCGGCGGCCACGGCCAGGACGGCGGCAACGATGAACACCTGGAAAAAAGAACGGGAACAAAGTCAGTGGGCAACCATGACAGAAGATGGAAATAGTTATACAATTAGCTATTAACATGTAAACCGGTCTTGGTGATATTCCGGATTTTGTTGTCATGAAAGTCTAGAATTTCGAGGCTTTATATCCGGTCATAAGATTTGCCTTTCTCAAGTCTCAAACGCTTTCGTTAGTTTTTGTGTTACCTTCATGTCTGGAGTGAGTTGTTTCGACTGTTGTCTCGGCTGAACTGATATCGGTCAAGAGTGAGAGGCGGCTTATATAGATCGGTGTTTCCGACCACCTGTCATTAGGCCGGAGGGTTTGACCGACAGTGTTAACCACCAAGGATAAATAACCACAACGAACGAATCACTAACCCAATGTTAGAGATAGAGCCTTTACTTTCCAGCCGTTAATGTCCTTGGTTGGCTGTGCTGGCAATTTACCGGAATGACAGCTAATAATTGATCGGGATGATATTCGTCGGTTATACTTGACCTTTAGAATCTGAGTCTGATTAGATTTGCAATGCATAAATATCTAATATAAATATCTAAGTACCTATCTATCTAAGAAGTATCTAAGTAGTAATGATATCTAAGTAAGTGAATATCATAAATATCTAAGTACGGTATTACTGCTGAGGATATTGACACGTAACACCCAACAATGTTCGGAAAAGAAACATTAAATCCGATTTCAATGTGCCGATGAATATGATTTTCAGATGCATGTTTTACCTAGCTCTCGATTGTTTGTCCAGATCTGTTGAATCCGTCCCAATCACTAAAGCATCGCCTCCGTGATTTAAATTTAAATCACTAACGTCGGTGATGGCTCTTAGCCGAGGCCGAGATTGGGGCCGACTTCACATGGCTTTCACAATCCGATGAGCATTTTGGTAATAATTGTTCAATGTTCAGAATGTTTTCATAGTTATTTTCACACTCATCATAGTGTTTATTCATCTTCTGGCGTCTTCTGGCAAAAACAAACGAATTTTTATGAATTCAGGGAAACCTTTGTTTAATATTATATGGACTCATGTCAGTTCAAAATATACAAACCACCAAATAAGGTTATGGACGTACCGCAAAGGCACGACCATATTTAACGATAAGGTCTTGCAAAGGTCAAGGTAAGGTCAAGGGTGAGAACTGCAAGCTTCTACATTATCGGCTTTGGAGCGCAGTTGGCGAAAAATAGACTGAGACTGATTACCCAAACTGCGTTCTTAGCCAACGAGCCGCTGGGGAGGGGGCATAAAGTTGCCCCCTTTACGTTTTGTAAAATATCTTCGAAACCTGATAAGCTGCAAACGTGATACCTGGCATATCTTCAAATGAATACCTAGGCAATGTTTGAGGAAAGTTTGGTGGTTGTAGCACTTAAGATGACGTCACAGTGACGTCAAATTTTTTTGTCGTTTTCCGATATGGACCGTTTCTGAGTGATGTCGCTGAGCATGAAATTCAACTGAAAATGAACTAGACAGCACCTACTGTCATCCTAAAACATCTAAGTACACTTTCAACTAGTTTCTGACCGATAATCGGTCCTTTATATTCGGTCTCATATATTGGATATATTGTGAGGAAACACTGAGAGTCGCAAATCTATAATTTGACTTCTGACGTCACTGTGACGTCATTTTAAATGAGATGGACACCAAATTTGGACACGACCTTGGCTAGGTATTCAGGGAAATGTGTGCAAAGTTTCGCATCTCTTTCTCTTCGCGTTGCGACAATATCGTCGCAGAAGTAAAAGGGGGAACTATATGCTCCCTCCCCCCCCCCCCCCAGCGGCCGGTGGGTGGCTCGGAGGCCCAGCGGCCGCCGGGTTTGGCTACTAAAACAAGATGTATTACAAACAATGGCATGCAAAGGTCAAGGTCAAGCTCAGGTCAGGTCCCCAAAGACGAACCATGGACTATGGAGTAGGATATATGCGACACATGTTGTATGGGTCATTTTATTCTTAAGAGCTTAATGAGCATAGCATACTGAATTAGTGACTGATAAAGCCATATTAGGATGGAGTTCAGCTGGAGGTCAGGTCAAGTAAGGTGGAATTTTAAAATTAATAAGACCCAAAAAAGTGTCTTGCAGTCTATCGGATGCTGTTTTTCATGTCAAATAGAATAGTGCTATTTGTGTTCCCGTTCAAGGTCTACAAATACCCTTTTTATTCGGTGCGTCGTGACTTAATTAAACATGCATTAAAGGGACCCTCCCACCTTCAAAAAAGTTAATGAATTGGCATGAAAGTGTTGTCGCTCGGTTCAGAAAGAGCAAAAACGAATATCTACCAAATTTCATCGAAAAATATTCACCGGTTTTCAAGATATTAGACTTTTACTTTTGTTTACTTTTTGGGATCTCCGCTGTTCCTAGCGACTTTATTTGAAAGTGCGGCATTTGTTGCGCGCAAAGCAGCATATACCACCGCGTGCTACAAAACGTTTTAGTCAAACATTCAACGGACGTTCGAAAGCCTGATGACGTCATCAGATTCCCGTAATGGTTAAGAGATAGGGACCACGCTGGTCCCACCCTGCAAGTAAAGGGAAGAAATTTCTTGAACACCATAAAGCTGCAGGGGTTGCGACCAGGATAAATGGTGGTTTCTGAGCCTGGCCGCAAACTTGGCTATCTCAACTCAAAACTAATGTTAAGGTGGGAGGGTCCCTTTAACTTGCATTTTTAGCCGATTCTCGGAATGTAGGTCGAATGTAGGTGCACGGACAGTAGGTACCCCTCTAAAATATATTCCGTTTTTAAATCAATTTAGAATTTTGGATTTTGTAGCGATTTCTCTCCATAGAAATAGCTTTTTGGTCAACATCCAAAGTTCTCGAAAAGCCGAGATCGCCATTTGAATGACAAAATAGGATCAACGGTACCTACATGCGTTTTGTAGCATCTTCATTAAAAAAAAAACTGAAGATGTTATAACAGTTGTTTGAAGTTTTGCACCTTTTTTGGGGGAGGGGGCTAAAACGGAGGTAGGACGACGTTTGTTTAGCATTTCACTTTTAATTGTTACTTAGATTAGACCACCGTGCGCAGGGCACGGGTCAGGTGAGGAAGTGCCCACATATCCAACTGACCATTCGTTCAAGAGCAGGGATGGCGCCACAGGGAGGGGGCAGGGGGCAGCCGCCCCCCCCCCCAACTCTGAACAACGGGATCCCTCTTTCAGCCAGCAGGTCAAGGTATGGGCGGAATGTTCTCTGGTTGTGCAGAAAGAAGCCTTCTGGGCAGAGCTGTAGAAGGAGTGGGAAATCAAGCCAAAGGGGGCCTTCTCACAAGATAAAACTTATGAGCTTTGGCCCATGTTTTTGGAAAAGGGCCTAATTTAGCAAAACAAGGTGAAACAAAATCATTCATTTTTGTATCTTGGGTGATTGTGGCCCTATCCTATCTTTCGACGCTGTAGAAAGGGCCCGGGCCAAGGCGGGTCCTTGCCTTGCCGCCGATTGTGCCCGAGGGCCCGTGCCGGGGCCACGCCGATTGTAGGAATGGTAGGTCAAAGGTACAAATGAAGGCTTTCATAGTACTGACGACATTTCAGAAAGTTTGGGCCCCCATCTTGCTTGGGTCCTTTTTCTGAAAACCTGCCCACGCAAGGCGAAATGCGTGGCGCCGTCCCTGCTCAAGAGTACGAAATATAATACGAGTATGCGACAGACGTAATCATGTATTATGCATCAGGGCAGGTACGAACGCTGACAATAAATATCACAACACTTACTTACACAAACGTAAAATGCCGCGTTGCAGTCAATTTAGTAGGCTGGCTTGTAGGGAGCCGGTGCGGGCTTGTAGGGGGCGGGGGCCGGCTTGTAGGGGGCGGGCTTGTAGGCCGGGGCCGGGTGGTACTCGGGGTACTGGGCCTCGCCCTCGTAGGTGACCTCGGCGTTGAATCCGTTGTAGTGGTCGGCAACGTACTTGACGGTCTGGATGCGGCCGTCGGGCAGAGCCACCTTGTAGTAGCCGCTGGTCTGCTTGCCGTCGCTGTTCTCGTTGGCGGCGAAGTCAGCGCCCGAGTAGCCGTCCTTCACGGCATAGTCGAAGGCGTACGGCTTGGGTTCCTCCTTGTACTGGGGCTCCGGGTGGTAGGGGGCCGGCTTGTAGGCCGGGGCCGGTTTGTAGGGAGCTGGAGCCGGCTTGTACGGAGCCGGGGCGGGCTTGTACACGGGGGTGTCCGGGGCCGGCGCGGTGGCAGCCACGGCCAGGACGGCGGCAACGATGAAGACCTGAGAAGAAGAAAATATTTAGTTAGATCACTTGATGGTTATCCGAATAACTACTTACATAAATTGATGCAGTTAAAAAAGTCGTGGTCATTTTAAGTTATGCCACCACAGCCCAGAGTAGATTATTACAAACACACTGAATTTTTCTTCCAGGGTTTACGCTTGACACAGACTGGAAAGTTTAAGTTGTATCCCCTCGTCTCAAATCTTGAACTCTTCCTCGACAGAGACCGGTCTTCGTGCCAAATCGCCGCGTTCGTTCTCACCTTCATGATGTGGTGATCCGGTTGTGAGCGTTCCTCAACTGATGTCGGTGTGGAGTGAGAGGCCGCTTATATAGCCGGGCACGCCCGTCACCCCTCCCGGCAGTCAACTGGACCGATCGAACATATCTCCAAGGTCGAGGGGCGACGGCGATTTCTAGATTTCTATGTAGATGTTCTTATATGCACCGATTGTGCATGAATTGTAGTGTTAACACCGTGGTACCTAACTTTTTTTTTGTTTTTACCTCCCTTCATTTTCTTTTCGAATGTCGAAAGCACTACCATTTTAACACATCATAACATACATCTTAACGTGAAATGTAACCCGGCACCGCCTGGGCTATTTCCGTACCCACGACAGCCGGGGGGGGGGGGGGGGGGTCGGATCCGACCCCCCCCCCCCCTGTTATCTCGAGAACCAATGGTCGTATCGAGCCCCGCGAGGCGGCGTTCGAGAGGTCTCTACGAGACCTTCCCAAAGCACTCTTAAGATTTTAAGATTGAGGTCAACTTTCGGGTCAAGGTCAGGTCAAAGGTCAAATTCAGGGGTTTTGCATGATTAGGCTTACGGACAGCGGAATCGATAGCTGCTGCTCGAAACTCACCAAAAATGACCTCAAAGGCCTAGTGAAGGTACCATGTGCGTATAGGGGTCATACTAAGTACGGGTCAAGGTCAGGTCAGGTCACGAAAGGTCACGGTTTTCACTTTCTGCTACATGGGCGTGCGACACATGTTTTATGGCTTATTTTTCAGGCCGAATCCGATGGTAATGGTTATATGTGACCCCAAGTCACTGTGCTGGTGATAAGTGTGCATTAAAAGCATAAAAAAATCGTTTATACCATACATAACTGAACGAGGGCTAAGAAAAAAGTCAATTTTTCAACTTTTTATTTTTGACATGAAAATGCACTTTTCTAGACGAGCTTTGTCTCAGGAATCTAGTGGTGCCATTTGTTTTTACATGCGATGTTCAGAAGTGCCTCTAATTCACGAAAATGCTTATGACGTCACCATGCCCTATGCATGTTGGAGCTATTTTTTACAATTTGGGGGTCAAAAATCAAGATAGAAAGTTGAAATTTGGGGCATCTAATGTTCTGATAGAGCTCTACAACATATATTCAGGTTTTTTGGAAATTCCAAGATTTTGGATTTTATTAGCTGTTTTTCAAAAAATGTAGTTTTTTTAATTTTTAGGGGTAAAAAACGCATTTTATGGAAAATCCGAGATAGCCATTTTAAAGAACTCGTTGAGCTGCATCTTTTCATGTCCTTAATTTGCAATTTGCTTTAAACCCTGATTTTTGGCGATTTTTTTAACATGTACCACTTTTTGACTAAAAACGCAATGTAGTTACGTCACTAAAATCGATATATCTTTTAAAAAAATCTTAGAAATTTTTTCTTAAAAATTGCACAGGAGACGTCAAATTGATGGGGGAGAAGGTATGCCAAGTTTCAAGTAGATAGCGAAAGCGGTTCATGAGTTATTCAAGAAAAACGGAGGGGGGTCGGATCCGACCCCCCAGGCGTTCGCGGGTAATACGAGTACAGTGGTTCAATCGTAACTTGTCGAGGCTGGAGGGGCGTTTTTGCTCCTCTCTTCCCTATCGCGATAGGCCCCTGCAGGCTGCGTAGTGACACCCGTACGCGGCGTTCCAAGAATCGTCAAAAATAAGCTGGTCATTTTAGATGAAGTCAAAAGTCAAGTTACTAGAGGTCCTCGAAAATTTTGACATGTTTTGACAACTAATAGCTCTTGAGCGAATAGAGCTAGAGTATTTAAGAGAAACATATTCCATTGTTCCTTTAAAGCTTTTCACCAATATGACCAAAATTAGACCAACTCAATGGTATAGCGTCTAGAGACACTAAGAACCGTCAAAATTGACTTTTTGTTGTCATTGTTTTCTATAGTGACTTTTGACGTGAAAACTGTGATATAGTTACATACATTGCTTATAGGCCGGCATCGTGCTTTTGTAGTCGAGACGTATCTTATGAACTATAATTTGACTAAATGTCAATGTCATGACCCGACGGGAAAGGTCATGCTGCATATCAGTCTAGCTGCATCGTTGAGTCCAACATGGGTGTTTTTAGCACACTAGCTTGTTTCTAGAAGAATTATTGTTAAAAACCGCCAGTGACCATTCATGACCGATGATTACCTAAAAGGTGCAGGATCACAGATACAATTTTCTGGTTAACTATATTGCATTAGTCTGCTACACGATGTTTGAGAGTCTTTTGTCAAAAAGGGTAGAGCTCACATTTTTCTAGTTACTTATAGGTAACGGTAGGAAACGTTTGATTTTACATGAAGAATATAACGACATGCCTTGTAATAAGGTTTTTACTGCTCCTGAAGCCAACAAAGGTAACGGAGAGATTGCATGGCAAAATTGACCGGACTTTAAACCATCGATAAAAAAAATTCCAAATAAGCGTTTTATATATCTTGTAAGTTATACATTTAGTTCATCTAGCCTGACGATCATTTGCATTCATTTTTTGATGGAAGTCGATTTACGTGGCCTGGTTCCCTGACCTCGAATGGCATAGCTGATTAAGCGGTCTCACGTCACCTAAATTCTGGACTCACCCGGTCACTCAGCTGTTGAACTCGCCTCCATACTCTAGCTACGCCAAATGAACATCTGCTTTGGAACTTTCAGCGATTGATGAACAAGTATCCTGCTCTATAAAACGTATAGCTCCGATTTTTTTTTTTGCATTGGAGGTGGCGGCAAGTCAGTACAATTTGGCGGCATTAAAAATATCATCATTTAATGTTTTAGTATCAAATTCGATGTAAGCAAACGAAGCTTTTACTGCGCCTTTTGCAGCCGAAATTCATTCTACACATTTTTTTGTGATTATTAATAACTCTTTACCGCATTTCAAAGATCATCCACCGTATTAAACTCTTCAACTCAATAACGATTAAATGAAATGTATGATTCCTTTATACCTGATTAGATTATGACATTGACCTAAGACCAACTTTTTATTTAATTTTAGTTTTCATTTTACTTCAAATTATGAATTGTTTGAAAACATGAGAAAAAGGAACACGATACTGGTAAATAACTATTCCAGTTTTGCTATCAAAACTTAATGCAGATAAACGTTTTCGGTAAGACTCTGATCATTTACGGATGCCTTTGGCAGTTTTTACCTTCTGTATTCATAATCACGGCTTAAGGGTAGGGGTAGGAGTAACGTGTAACGGGTTATTTATTGTGGCCGTATTCACAATCGGAGTTTACCCCTGATGGTCACCCGGCGCCACGCAGACGGCACCTGGCCTGCGTGGTGTCTGAAAGCAAGTCCGTTGATAAATTAAGCAACCTTTTCAGGGCGTTCATTTTACGTGCAAAGCCTAGCTTACGGAGTACGGATCCAACGCACGAGGGGTTGGCCTATTTCGTCGAGCGCTGCAGATTGCAGAATGGCCAATACCGGCGTGGCTCAATAGAGGTCTGACTCAACGGAAGACCGTCATTTTCATTCATTCGCCCATAAAACATCAAGGAATAGAAGACAAACGTATTCATGTATTATAAAACATCGCAGGTACGAGCGTTGACAATAAATATCACAACACAAACAAGAAATGCCGCGTTGCAGTCAATTTAGTAGGCGGGCTTGTAGACCGGGGCAGGCTTGTAAGGAGCCGGGGCGGGCTTGTAGGGGGCGGGGGCCGGCTTGTAGGGAGCGGGCTTGTAGGCCGGGGCCGGGTGGTACTCGGGGTACTGGGCCTCGCCCTCGTAGGTGACCTCGGCGTTGAATCCGCCGTAATGGTCGGCGACGTACTTGACGTGCTGGATGCGGCCGTCAGGCAGAGCCACCGAGTAGTAGCCCTGGGTGTTGTGGCCGTCGCTCTCCTCCTTCTTGGCGAAGTTGGTGCCCGTGTAGTGGTCGTTGACGGCGTAGTCGTAGGCGAACGGCTTGGGCTCCTCCTTGTACTTGGGCTCCGGGTGGTAGGGGGCCGGCTTGTAGGCCGGGGCCGGGTGGTAGGGGGCCGGCTTGTAGGGAGCCGGGGCCGGGTGGTACGGAGCCGGGGCCGGCTTGTAGACGGGGGTGTCCGGGGCCGGCGCGGCGGCAGCCACGGCCAGGACGGCGGCAACGATGAAGACCTGAAACATGATACACAGTCGAAATTTAATACATTTATGGATCGACGGCATTGGATTGAACAAAACTACTGTTTCTTTGCAAATATGAATTGTGTTCTTTTTTAATGTTGCAATCTTTTTAGCTCATAAATATCTCTACATTCGGCGGCCAGAAAACTGGGCACTTTTCTTGGTGCAAAGGCACTTCTAAACATCACTGTCGCCACGTCAGGTCACTGCACGACACTGCACTGCTCGCCGCGGTCCGCTGTGCTGGTCAGAGGTCGGCCGGCTGACCCCGGTCCCAGCGGTGGAGCCGGCCACTGTACCGCCGCCAGCCGCCAGCGACGCTCGCTACACGGGGGACACGGACAGCTGCACGTGCGGCCGTACCTTCATGGTGGTGCGGTGTGATCCGGGGTGGAGCAGAACTGGTGCCGAGCCGTGCCGCCGCCGCCGTTATATAGGCGGTCCGGACGGCAGGGGCGGGGGTCACGGCCGCGGCGCTCCGGCGGTGCCGCTGTGGAGAAGGGGGCCCGTGTCGCCGGGGTGGGGCAGGGCACTGTAGGCCTGGGGCGCTAGTGTATACGGTAGTCTGGGACAGTGGGTGTCCTAGTCTCATAGTCTGGGACAGCAGGATATGATGAGTCTGGGATAGGAGGGTGCGATAGTTTGAGACAACAGGACACAGGAGCGTGGGAAAGAAGTGCACCGCGAGCATGGACATTGGACAGAAACAGGTTAGGCACGGGACATGGCGAGCCTGAGCTGGACAGGGCTGAGCCATTATACGGTGCGGCGAACGTGGCTATTGTATAGTTTAAGATAGATCGGTGATAGGGGACCGCGTGAGGTTCAGTAGTGGCCTGCCCTAGACCTCAACCCTCGCCGGACCTATTGGTTTTCTACATACGCACCGGCTGAAGGGGGGGGGGGGATGTTGGTACAGGGACCCGCAGTTGCTAGTGTACACATATATTACCAATTTAGAATTGTGCTATTATTTGCTAAGTGTTGGCCATTGGAGAAAAGAAATGTAGCGCAAAGTATGGAGGAATACCACATGTTTGCTCCTAGGACGTATGTTTTGTATAATTCCTCTTACCGCAACAGATATTCTTTCAAAACTACAATCGTGCTATTTTTCTGTGCCGGTTGCCTCCCCAGAGCCCGTCCTTGGTATCGCCTATAGTTTCCGTTCCCGCTACGTGAATGAAAGTCACGTGACTACTACCTACACGTTTGCGCTCAGTACTAACACACCTAGCCCGAGGGCCGGTCCGTAGCGGGGAGGGGTAGAACGCCAGAGCTCCAGCGCAGTGGAGGTGGTGGTGGCCCGTATCATAAAGAGGCAACCGTAAGCAGAACTACAATTGCCGCAGTATGAAAGTATGATAAGGTTTTCTTTAAATGTATTGATTGACAAGAAAGTGCAATGCTTATCCGATATAATAAAACGGTGTCCAAGGCCTTGGAAGAACTGTAAAACATATTCAGGAACGTATAAATTTCTGATACAGGCCATGACCTTTCACCTTGCCTCCGGGGAGGACCGCTCAGGAATCCACATACCGAACGAATCGAGGCCTCGCAGCGCGGTGGCAGACGAGGTGGATAAACCATCGCCAGATCTTTCGGTTACTTATGTTTCCAGAAGAAGGGGGGTGGAGGCTGAGGGCTGTTTTCAACCCACTCATCAATCCTTTCCTTATTAAGTTATAGCTTACCGAAAAAATGCAACACAAGGCCGTCACGAGATGTAGCGAAGTGCCTCAGCCACACCGGTTTTGAGTAAACCTTAAGCATTGGAATTCAGGCCAGTGATCCTGAAGCATTATTTTATTTTTGTCGTGCATAAGCTGGGGTGACGTGGGCCAAGTTAATTGCGAAGAAACGGTTCTAGTTTCAGAACATTTCTGAGGCTAGTCGCGCCAAATAGTATACGTTTGTTGCAAAATATCAAATAGAATGTTGACGTGCTATCCAGATGATGGAATTTATATGACACAAGAAGTCCAAAAGTGGCATCATTAGTCATCCTGCATACCATATAAATCGATTCGTCACCTCGGTTCGAGCTCTTCTTTTCGCGGATGATCGATTTCGTTTTTTTAGGGGGGGTGACAGGTTATGAGCCAGCAACCACCCTCCCCAGTCCCCCCAACAGCAATTGTTGACAAATACTGTGATGGCCTAAAATGCCCTCAATTGTGTTACGTAATTTGGGGCTCTCAACTTTGATTTGTTAAAGTTATTTGTCTATTTATTATAAAAGCTGTCAAATTTGCCGTATCATTAAACTTTTATTGAGTTTGTATTTCACACTTATCTAAAATGAAAATTTTTATCACTGGCCTTTTTATGAATGGATGGTCGCATGAATGAACGAATGAATAGCTCTACATCATTTGAGCAGCAGCTGAAATCAATCCTAAAATTTGATCTACCAGTCTGCAACGAAAAGGTTTAAAAACCAGTGCAAGTTAAGTTATTAAGTGTCTCATAGCTCCTCAATCTTGAGCCGCTTCTCTCACGATTCATTTTATGTGATGCTTACGTTGTTCAAGAAGTCATAGCATTCGAGCTCGTTGGTCTTAAAAACTGCTATCGAAGTAAATTTAAGTCTTCGGCTTTGGCAATTAAAAACCAATCGATATTAAATCCTCACCCATTTAGGCATTTTTTTCAGCGTCTTACATGTAACGGAGGGGCGTAGAAGCCCTCAGCCATTCGGCCCTTGATAAAAGAGCCAGAGCTTCGCTGAAAAAGAAAAAAAGAAAGAAAGAAAAAAGAGCGTGCTGCTCGTGACGAGAGAAATCCGATGTTTTTAGGGTCCTGGTTATCGCTGACGAGAGAAAGTCAATTATTTTATGTCCTGATCAATGTTGAGATCCTAGGTCATTGGTTGACCTCCCAGATCAGATATATAACCAAAAGCACGGAAAATTGGGTCCTGCTAGAATTTCTACAAGTGAAGTTTGCTGGGACTTGGCTTGCTTCTGACTCCGAATTTGTACTTGCTTTGATCAAAGATGATGTATCAAAGCATTTGGGGTAGGACGGGTCACGCCAGATCACCCATTAGGCGTTCCGCCGGCCATCCATAGAATGTTAACCAGCTCTGACAGCCTTGCAACATGTTGCATAGGCACTATAACTGATACCTAAGTATGCCTAGTTTTCAAATGCTAAAATGGGTGCTAAATTTCAAACCAACACTTCCTAAAAACCACAGTAAAAAGGTGTAAATTTAAGGAAGTTAACCGAGATCATTTCAAGTAAATGACCTTAACCTGAGTTTCACGTGACCTTGGCACCCACAACAATCAATGAGACAAACATTAGATAGTATACTTCACAATCACATGTTGTCACGTCCCTAATCACGAAACGACTATGGAAACACACAGAAGATGTGCGCTGACTTTCAATTGCTATTCTGGCCTGACATGATCTTGAGAAAAATAATCACAGGTCAAAGGTAATTTGGTTCAGGGATTTAAAATTCTCGGAGAAGATGCAAAAATTATAAGGGCTATTTAATTTTCCGGGAAGTTGTAAAATTGATTACCTCCAGGGCACCAAAGAATCGTCGCAATCCTTCGCTTTGCCGCGATTTATTGGTGAAAAACAGGGGGCACGGTCTACTTACCTCTACTTAGGTATATGTGTGGTGAGGGTTAATATTCATTTTATCCATGTTGATGAATGTGCGACAATTTCTACATGAACTGAGACCAGTCCATATGAGTATGTTTTTCTCATGGACAATGACAATATAAAAACAAAGCGAATAAAACCAAACGTTTCGGACAACAACATGCCTTCGTCAGTGAAGAAAAATAAGTGTAGGTTTAAAGGCTGAAACAGACTCTTTCCGCGTTCAGGAAATCGCATGCGAGAGCCTATTCAAATACATTATAATTCTTCTCGCATCAATCGCTTGCGGGAGGTGCGTGCGATTGAGGCGAGCGTGCTTCCATGCATTTGAATGGGCTCTCGCATGCGATTTCCTGACTGCGGAAAGAGTCTGTTTCAGTTTTAACATCGATGAGAACTATATGCGGCACAGTCTCGGTCTGGCCAGCCGGGTTGCCGATAAAATACACAAATGTTTATAAGCTCCCATGATGTGCTTACAAAACTGTTGAAAATATATATTTAAAAAATAAAGATAACTACATCATCGATTTTATCGAAAGAAAACATCTATGCCTAGTTACTTATTTCTCGCCACTAACGGAGGCACTTTTTTGTGCGAAACGTCTGGTTTTATTCGTATTGTTATTGTCTTGTCATTCCCTGTGAGAAAAAAGGAGAACTCTTCAGTTCTCAAACCATATGAGTGAAACGGCTTAATGTAACACTTCAGTGTGTATACGAAACCTATAAGTCCCCAAAAATAATCCTATTTACAGCTTTAAAAAAGATACAGCTTATACAGCTAAGGCATAATTTTTTTCTGCATTAAGATAATATTCATTTATATCCACAGAATATGTTCAATTAGTGCTGCTGAAGTTCGCTTTCGAAGCGTCTCCTCCAGGCATTCCACAGCCCTCTAGTGCCATTTTGGATCACGGAACATGGCTGGGCGCGGGACAGGTCGTCTGCGAGCTTGGACGGACCACGTGACCACCTCCTCCCCTCCCACCCACTCCCGTCCCCTTCCCCAGCAAGGCGTCCGATCTAACCGCGCCCCAGGCAGTCGGCTCGGTCCGACCCTCACTGGTCGAGCCACGGCCCGGTGCCGCCTGAGTTTGTGCCGGGTGCAAAACTGGAGCAGTAACTAGCGCTGGAACTAGTAATCAGCACGACCATCGTCAGATGGCAGGAGTGAATGGAATAAGCGGTTTCAGGTTTCAGAAGGAATGGGGCAGGAAAAAGCGCTGAAAACAATGTTTTGCTGATACAGCCATAAACAGTTCACTGAATTAGGAGAGCAGCACATCAGTTTAAAGCCCGTCAGGTGGTGGTTTTAATAAGCACACAATCATTTCCCAATTCGCCTCCAACGGTGTCACAGGCCAAGAATACGCTGAAATACTAGTGTGTACAGAAGCAACTGCGGGTCCCTGTACACTCGAGGGCAGATTGATGTTCCACCACTCCGTGCCCATCGGGCTCCCATGGCTCAGCACTGGCTGCTGCCAGTGGCAGCACTGGCAGCACTGGCACTGGCAGGCAGTGCTGAGCAGTGCTGAGGGCAGGCAACACTGGCAGCGGCCAGTGCTGAGCCATGGGGGCCCAATGGGTAGGGAGTGGTGGAACATCAATCTGCCCCCGAGTGTACGAACCCCTCGCCGTTTCGCCCCTGATGGAGCTAGAGCCTTGCGGAAAAATGGAGTGTGTGCGCCGTTACGAGACACAGCGACTGGTACCCAATTTTAAGCTCTCAGATCAACCGGTGACGTCTGAGGTCAGGTCAAGTGACCCAGGGCACGGGTTCGGTTTTTGATAAATAGCTTTCCGGAGCCCTCAGGTCACGAAACTGGTCGAAGGAGGTTATATCGCATATTGTTCGATTCGGCAGGTATAGCTCAGTTTGATCGGGAATTATTGACAAAAAACTTATTATGACCTTAATGACGTCATGATATATGACGTCACACAAGGTCAACAATGTACGCAGTTCCGAGACGAGAGTTCTGTGAAGAGAGACAGGCACGATCCATCGCGCGGGTTGCCACTGTCCCACAGCGCCGGCGACTGTTCGCGCACACTCGCCAACCGCCCCAGTCCACCCCGCCGCCTCACAGCGACATGGCCTCGTCTCCCCGCTCTCCCGTTTCCCGTGAGCCGGCACCTGAACCGGCCAGCCAGCCAGACAGCGTATCACCTTCCCACCAATTCGCCCCATCCGCGACACTCAACCGCTCGCCCGGGAAGAGCGCGCACATGTTCTCCTGCTCCGGTCGCGCACGAGAGGGAACCCGCCACTTCGCCCTCTGCTCTCACGCGATGTATAGTCTCTCTTGAAAGTATCGCGACTCCGAGGGAAGGCGCCACCTGTCCCAGCCGCGGTTGAGCGGAAAGGTTTGAGAGCCGCTGGTAGCACTGGCCGAAGCCTGACACGCGGAGGCAACCGGCGCAGCGGGCCGAGGGGAGTGGTTGCGGACTGCGGAGGGATGGGGGGGGCAGTCGCCATCCGGTAACTTGTGATGGCAGCTAAGCATATGGTCAACGGAGGCCACCCTACTCGCAGAGGATTTGTTGAGATTTGTTTCATTGCAAAGTTAGCAATTTGACTCGTCATCGGCACGACTGTCACCTTTTTTTTTGGGGGGGGGGGGGGTAAAATCCGGAAACTCGTGCCAATATACCCAAAAATCATCAGTTGCACCGCTAACAGAATGCATCCGTGCTTGCACATGCACTCGTAAGCGAATTCAAAAACAAGAATTATCTCTCTAGCCAGTTCGCACATTCGCTGTCTAGCCATTTAGTCCTATATTTGAAGTTCTCTCTTTTTAATGAGCCGGTTAGTGAACGGCGACAAAAAAGAAAAAGTAATGCTGTGCAGCCATGTTCTTTTTAAAAACTTATTTGATGTCAGGCTCCCCCCCACACCCCGCATGACCTGTTTACGTCATTCAGAAGGCCTCATTATAGTAAGGGTTATGGCAGAACTTCGCTTCGTTGTGATTTTACGCGTCACACACACAGAGTGATTGGCGCCCAGAAAGGCACACCAATGAGCGCCCGGCTGGTGAGCCCAAGAGGCACCGGTATACGCCTGGGGCGGTGGACGGGGTCAAGGGAGAGCGATACGAGCATGACCTTTGGCCGGCCTCCGCCTGTTTTGACCCAGTTGTCAGCCGCTGGGGCCTGCGTCATATAGCAGTTTTCCTTCTACCGCTGGCGTGAAATCGTGTTACAGCGTACTTTTTATGATACAGGCCATGACCTCCCTACTGGGGTCCTCAAACTAAATGGAATAGTTCGCTGAGCCGCCGCAGCCCAGGACGCGATACTTTCAAGAGAGACTATACTCGTCGTAGCATCCTGGAACGCCACCGACCGCAGTACCTCGATGACTATGTTTGCGAGTAACGTGTTATTCCGTTGTGCGTTACGATGTTGCTCTATTTCATTGTCAACAGAATTCTTTGCGTTTGCCCATTTGTCGTCAGACTTTGGCACCACGGTACCTAAAGTCTCGAGGGGGGGGGGATAGAGGACCATGGTATCCATGTATCGTTTGCAACTGTTTAATCTATGCCTGCCACACTCCCAGCTGAGTACATCCCACTGTCCTGATGCTTCTTTTCTTGTCCTTTCAGATGTGTTGGTCATTGCCAAATACCGAAGCAAATGACTGAGGTCTATCTAGTTACGACCTTACATTTGCCAGCGTCGTGTTCTTCTCGTCCAGACGCGTCGCATTAGCTATAATTTGACCTTGAAAGGTCATTTTAAAATTTGACCTTAGGTCAAGGTCATGACCTGACCGGAAAAGGTCATGTTGCATATCAGTCGATCCGTATCGTCAAGCTAAACACATCTGAGGTGCTTTCACCGGTCTAGCATATCTCTATCAAAAGCTTTTGTTAAATAAAAATAATGTTTCGTGAAAAAGGACATTTCGTCACCCAAAGGGGCACAAAGAGGGGTCACGGGTGCCATTTCCCGATTCAGTGTGTCATGTTGACTTTTAAGTCGATGTTTCAGAGTGTTTAAAACGACGTTCGTCCCTACGAAAGATCCCCTTGCACTACAGGCGACGTTTTTGCGCAGTGCATAGGCTCACTTATGACGTCATAGGTCAGTAACATGACCTGATCTGAGAACATGGTTGGTGTCACAATGTCCGACTTGAAGCATGCGCTAAGCCTGCCGATTTTCAGCACCCTATCAAGTCGCGAAAAAAAAACACCTAGGAGTGGCACCCCTCAGTCGGGAGAGATAAGCAACAAAAGAATACACCAAAATATTCCGACTCACGTTGTATTACCAAAAACAAATACACTGTTGGACAATAAATAACGAACACGACACTTAAATAATCATCAGCTTAGCACCCTAGTTATACTTGGGGGCGGGCTTGTAGACCGGAGCGGGCTTGTAGGGGGCAGGGGCCGGCTTGTAGGGAGCGGGCTTGTAGGCCGGGGCCGGGTGGTACTCGGGGTACTGGGCCTCGCCCTCGTAGGTGACCTCGGCGTTGAATCCGTTGTAGTGGTCGGCGACATACTTGACGGTCTGGATGCGGCCGTCGGGCAGAGCCACCTTGTAGTAGCCGGTGGTCTGCTTGCCGTCACTGTTCTCGTTGGCGGCGAAGTCAGCGCCCGAGTAGCCGTCCTTCACGGCATAGTCGAAGGCGTACGGCTTGGGCTCCTCCTTGTACTGGGGCTCCGGGTGGTAAGGGGCCGGCTTGTAGGCCGGGGCCGGCTTGTACGGGGCAGGGGCCGGCTTGTACGGAGCCGGGGCCGGCTTGTACACGGGGGTGTCCGGGGCCGGCGCGGCGGCAGCCACGGCCAGGACGGCGGCAACGATGAAGACCTGAAAAGAAAACATTTAGTTTAATCACTTGGTGGTCTTCTGAAGAATTCCATACATAAATTCACGCAGATAAAAAAAGGTGCTGTCATTTATAAATTATCTCACCTATAACCATGAGAAAAACATTTTTGTAGCACAATCAATTTTTTCCTTCGATGTTCACGGTTGGTCTAAGCAGACTGGGAACAAACTTTTAATCCCATGTCTCAATTCCGAAGCACTCCCCAGGCTGAGATCCGTCTTCCGTGCCAAATCGCCGCGTTCGTTCTCACCTTCATGATGTGGTGATCCGGTTGTGAGCGTTCCTCAACTGATGTCGGTGTGGAGTGAGAGGCCGCTTATATAGCCGGGCACGCCCGTCACCCCTCCCGGCAGTCAACTGGACCGATCGAACATATCTCCAAGGTCGAGTGGCGACGACGTCTGTTGGACACTGGACAATGGACGTCGAAGTGACCAACGCAAGTTTCAGCATACATGAGCTATGAATACCCACCAAGTATATAGTGCTCGGTATAGTTTTTAGAGTTGGATGAAAGGTTCATTTTTTCCTTATAATTTGGTGATGTCTACATTTTTGCAGCTCTTTTTGGATTAGATACTTTAATCCATGTTCTATTTTACTGGCCTATTTTCTTTTCTACTCGACATCAAACATTCTATATGATGTTGTTTCTTTTTTATCTTGGTGATCTGAACTAATTAATATCTTTAGCTTTATGACGATCACCATCCATTGACAAACTGTTGCGTAGGTACCTATTGAAAAATGCTGTTTTCATTTATGTTAATCTTTCATTTTGTACTTTATGAACGATTCGTTACCTGAAGACTGGGCCGTCAGTTGTTGCTTTACTTTCTTTCGGAAATATCTGGAATGCCGAATCGAAACCTACACGGAGGCAATACACTTTCCCCTGAGCCGGAGACAAGGTCGGTATACACGCAATACGCATAGTTTGCCCGGATAAGGAGCCATAGCCGGTACCTACTGTCTGCCCGGAGCCGGAGCCGTGAGGCCGAGGCCGTAAATGGGTGGTTCCACATCCCAAGGGAAATAATGCTTCTGGCTTTTATACATTCTGTCATTTTTTTCATATTCAGTGACTTGTTTGAACGCCAGCAGAACGCCATGGACCTTCAGCTCATTATTACATCAAATTTCTATTAATATTTAGGGCCCGACACCTAGGTTGCCGGTGCCCCCTAAAGGACCATTCGTGGTTGAATCGGTCCTCCTCGCCATGAAACCCTTTCACCATCGCTCATGCATGTGCGTTTTGTAGTAAGGGCAATTAGTAACCATGCTGCACACGCTTAAATCGTTACTGTGCTGTGCACTGGCGCAGTCGGTTGAACGCACTTCTGGTTGAAGAAATAACCAATTTAGTCACAGTCACTTCCTTTATAGTGTCAAGGCTCACAGGTACGCAATGTGGAGCGTTCTGTCATTAAATGAAACTTAGTAGAACGTATTAGGTGTTACCACTCTCACTATTAATGAATAAAGGCATCACATAGGCTAAGCTATTTCCTCGTTGGCCCATCAAAGTTGCTATGCTGCAACGCTTCCCGTATGTTATGACGTTATTAATTGTATTAACTTTAAATTAAAAGTATTTTGATTATACTGAATGAGTATACTGTAGGTCGATCCGTGATGACATGGTCCTTCTTTGTGCAAGTTTTATTTTATTATATTTTCTTGGCTTGGGATTGGCTTCTTCCTATTCAACGTCAGGGTTGAGGCACGAGAAGGTATTGAACTGGGCCGACCACCTACCGGTGCGCCACAGTGCAGCGGCTGAGTCTTATCTCATTAACGCCGAGTGGCAACTATAGTTGCCATCTACAAAAACCTACTGCTGAAGGCAAGTTAATGACGTCAGAACAGCATTTGTGGGATGCCTAATCAGCATAGTCCCTTCTCATCATGATCAGACGGTTTTAGTCACGTCCTGTGCGCAACATGCTTCACAAATCAAGAAATAGTCAGACGTTGCAGAGACGGCCGCCATATTGGCTTGACGGTCCCGAAGAAAACGACGCTGTTTTTCCAGAGTGTCCGGTATTTCCGAGCATTTTCGGCTTATTTTGATCCAGAAAGGATGTAGGCAGGCTACCAGTGTCTCAAAACTTGAAAGCACTCTACTCATTTGTAGTTATTTGTACTAGATTTGTACTTGGCAACTATAGTTGCCACTCGGCGTTGGCGTAGTCAAAAATATGAGCGGTTCATAGTTAAATAGTTGTATTTACGGATATACTGTAACGAAACATATGTTATTCAACCAGACTGTCCCCGTGTATACCTTGGGACATAGTTACATGGACTTTTGCAAATAAATTAACAATTAAGGCAGAAATTAATTAAAAAATACATGCATGTCTATACATTACCATAGTGAACCCTACCCCCATCCATTGTTTTCTTGGTCTATTCTCGACATTGTTAAATCTGTTTATGTTTATCATCTACTGAAGATATTTTTGTGGAATGGGATGCAATCTCGCTTTCTCTTTCCTCTCTCCCTCTCTCTCTCTCTCTCTCTCTCTCTCTCTCTCTCTCTCTCTCTCTCTCTCGCTCTCTTTCCCTGTTCCTCCACTGGCGGATGCAGGAAACATTACGGACATTCATAGCTCACAGAGTCCGACTTGCCCGATTTTGTTTCGTTTTCTTTGTAAAGAAAGAGAACTAAAACGGCATTTATACGATAAAGATTGCCTACGATTGCACAGTAATGCATTTATAACAAACCGAAATCCGAGAAGTTTAGGTACGAGAATTTTCAAACCCTGCTGCGTGTGATATCACCTATCACCTTTCTGGATAAACCAGAGTCGCTCTCGCTTTCTATGTCGAAGACTATGCTTTGCTGGTTTTTCCTAGCGTTCGTTAGTCGCGCCACTTGCAGTATGCATAACCAAACTCAGGCATGCTCATCTGCAGGCACCGTGCCATGATGCTAAATCGTGTGACCAGCTCGTGTTTCAATTTGGAGGGGCACGTAGGTATTAAGCCTATTTGCATCAACAAATTAAGTTTTTAGCATCGTAAAGACGCTGTATGACGTTTACAAACAGGGACCCATAAACGAAAGCTCCCCCACCTCCTCCGCTGAGCTCCCATTGACGCCGATTATGACCTTGACACAGTCGTGATACCGAATTGATTCCGATGAAGCTGCTTGCTATCTGAACTTTCACAGCAGATGCTGGTGATTCAGCTGAATGAGACGGTGGAGGCGGCTTTGTGCTTTGGGTTTCGTGCGAGGATAACAGCACACGAAACTTTAGGTTACGATCACGTAGCTGATGTTGTCTCATGGGACTGAATGAAAATTGTGAACCAAAGGCGAGACATCGCCTGACTTGGGGCAGTGCTGATTCCTGGCACTGCCAGCTGGAAACGAGGAAATGGGGATTCAGGTGGTAGAAAATATGTGGGCCTGCTCAGTTGTCCTAAACTAGATGAAATTGAACTATATTTTTATGACACGTGGAATGTGTTCAAGTGCAAGTAGTGGTGGTCGCCTTGTACTTACACCACTTTTACTCGTCAATCAACATATCCCCCTTCTTATTCTGAAGTACAACCGCCAGTGTGTGCTCGAGTCGTGATCACGAAAGGGATCCAATTTGTCCAGACTCTCGTCCGAACAGTCTAAAAAACATTCGAAGGCGAACGGATTTACTGGTTAGGTAAGGACAGCAGAAGTACGTACGTATGCGGGAATCAGAAATATACTATACAATTCCATGGCTCCGGTAGGCCTGTAATCAGCGTGCTCGCAAATAGGCATGAATAATCGAGTTGCTTTGTACCCCGAGTTTTTACAAATGTATCATACCCGGTAGAAAGTTTTGTGATAGGACGGTATACCTGCCATCAACCATGTACGCGTAAATAGGGATCTGGTGAGAACTACGTATGAGATAATATGCATTCTTTGTTGAATTGTTTTCGAGCAGATTTTATTTATGCATGTCAAGATAAATGGTTAAAAAGGACTGGTAAAGAGCATCTGCTTTGGTACAGAAAAACACTTATTGATGGATAAATGAACTGTGTTTCCTGGATACCAAGGACCAGGGCCTCGTCTAACATGTTAACTGGGGGGGCAATTGCCTCCCCAGTCGAGCGGATTGCCCCCCCCAGTGGCCAACATTTGCCCCCCCAGTCAACACGTGAACTTCTCACAAAATTACCTTATCGGCAACACGTTTTGCTAGGAGTCTTACATGGATTTAACGAGAAACATTAAATGATTTGTTCAATAACTGTTCATGGCTACGGGAAAAGCCAGAGTTTTGTGATTTTCAGAGCTGAGAGCGCCAATTAGCAAATTGTCAATTAGCAGAGCTGGCCAGTGACCCAGCTCGTGTTTGCCCCCCCCCCCCCACACACACTCAATCAAACGCCCAACACGGATAAGTATGTTTATCACTGTCTGGTGAGGGGGTAACACAATGTTAACCCGCGCCGGGCCAGTGCTCCGCGACTTCCGCGCCGGACCGGGGGTGTCTGAATCCCCCCTTCTAACTCCGCTCCTGGGCCACGTAGTGACACGCATTAAGCGGCATTCGAAAGAGCGTCAAAAATAATGACGGAAACACTTCAGTCATGTTTTTAGGAAGTTCAAAGTTGATATCGCCGACGCCAGAGGTAATCAAAGGTCAAATTTTGTCCATTTCAACAATTTTGGAAACTGCCAACAGCTAACTCTGGAACCGATAGAGTTAAAGCGCCGAGGAAAAACCCATTCGATAGCTCTTTTAACGCTCTTTCGCCGGTGTGTCCTCAGATTTGACCTCAGGTCAACGGTTTAGCCTCCAGAGGCCAAAATCTAAAAAATACCCGTTGTTATGAAAAACGTTTTTCTGCAATAACTTTTGACTCAAGGAAGTGACATTTATTTTGAAAGCATCGCGTTCCTCTTGTCGAGACGCGTCGAATGAACTATAATTTGACGCTGAAAGGTATTTTGAAAATTTGACCTCAGGTCAAGGTCATGACCTGACCGGAAAAGGTCATGTTGCATATCAGTCGATCCGTATCGTCGAGCGGAACACATCTGAGGTGTTTTCATCGCTATAGCATGTCTATCAAAAGTTATTGTAAAAAAAACTCATGGGACCTTTTATGACCTGATATGACCTCAGGGTCATAAGGAGAGGTCACGGGTGCCATTTTTCGGCTCAGCTTGTCGAGTTTACCTGTAACACAATGCTTGGGAGTGTTTGGAATGACGTTCGTCCAAAAAGGCGCCTTTCAATTTTCTCCTATTGACTTAGGTATAATAGAGAGGTCGCAAAATTAACCTGACCTTAGGTCACCGATATCGAAATTCCGAGATATACATTTTGTATATACTGTTACTCTCATCAATTGCTGAAAGTTTTAAGGTGATCGTTCGGTCGGTGCAG